GGAGAACTAGGAGAATTAGAAGAACTAGGAGAACTAGGAGAACAAAGGAGAACTAGGAGAATTAGAAGAACTAGGAGAACTAGGAGAACTAGGAGAACTAGGAGAACTAGGAGAAATAAGAGAACTAGGAGAACTAGGAGAACTAGGAGAACTAGGAGAACTAGATGAACTAGGAGAACTAGGAGAACTAGGAAAACCAGTAGAACTAGGAAAACCAGGAGAACTAGAAGAACTAGAAGAACGAGGAGAACTCGAACTACTAGGAGAACTAGAAAAACCAGGAGAACTAGGAGAAATAGGAGAAATAGGAGAAATAGGAGAACTAGAAAAACCAGGAGAACTAGGAGAAATAGGAGAACTAGGAGAAATAGGAGAACTAGGAGAAATAGGAGAAATAGGAGAACTTGAAGAACTAGGAGAACTAGGAAAACCAGGAGAACTATAGAGAACCAAGAAAACCAGATAAATCAGAGAACTTGTTCTTACCCTGTAGGTTGTTGGATTTGTTTGGTCTTTCCCCAAGTTATCATATCCCCCTGCTCCTGATAATAAATACATATTTATATATATATGAGTTTTTAATAATTAATTTTCTAGCACAACCTTCAGAAGTAACAGTAAACACCATCATGGTTAAAAGATTGAAGAATTTAACCTTTTCATTTCGAACTTTGTCTGAAATGATACAGTGAGACCCATAAAACTGTGGAAGAGGAAGTCGACATTTCAAGCCTATGTGTATTTGCTGTTGTTTTGAAAAAGAAATTTACTTGTAACAGTCGTCGTTCATATTCCCCTGTTGTTTGGGCCTCACTGTACTATTTTGTGTATTGCTAGCAAATGTTTTTTCTGTAAAACTTCTATTATCGATATTCCTGTAAAACTGGGACGAATTGTGTCAGTAATACTAGAATACAAAATACAGTTTACAGTAGGGCAATGATATATTTAACAGGGCTAAGCGCATTATATTTCTTTATTGCACAAACTCAAATTTGATAATCCCTATATCTTTGCAACCTGATAGTGTAAACCTTTGATATTTCAGACTTATATTACTCAGTACTCTATCCAACAAAATTCATAGTTTGTAATATCTAAGGTCTACGACATTGGATTTGAAATATATAGGGCTTTCAAAATCAGAATTTGTGGAAAAAGCTTAATTCCTTTGAATTGAGTCTTGTTTTAGTCTTTAGTTTAAACAATCTTAAAACAAGGTTAGCTCTTTCTACTTTTATTAGTTAAAACGGATTAATGGGCAAATGAATATGAAAGAGAAAAACTAGAACTGAAATCAGTGTGATAGGTTTGTCCAATTTACTACGTAACCATTAAACCTGTATCTTAACGTTTCTGTACATATATATGGAACAGTGTTGAATTCTGACTAATTCATTCTTTCTCCAAAATTGCGAGAATCCGCCAAATTGCAAATTAAATGGGTACCGTTGTGAATCGGACATTCCAAGGTTGAATGGGTATTGTTGTGAATCGGAAATTCCAAGGTGAATGGGTACCGTTGTGAATTGGACATTCCAAGGTAAATGGGTATCGTTTTGAATCGGACATTCCAAGGTTGAATGGGTACCGTTGTGAATCGGACAAGCCAAGGTTAAATGGGTACCGTTGTGAATCGGACTTTCCAGCGCAACACACTTGAGATTATATGTACTGTCCCTGTAAATGCTGTGAAATTATAGATAAATCTAAGAAATTTACCATTAAATGTTGATCCATCCAAAATGACTGGTCCCTCCCCCTAGTGGAATATTCTCATATTTCCACAGGATTTATGTTAGAAGTTAAATATCAAACTTAATCCAAAATTAGAAATACTTAAATCATTTAAAATAAAATTCATATATCTTAAAAAACTAAATATTCTGTTAAAAAGAATCATTCAAGACTGTTTTATCTACCATATCTAATAAAAAAATTCTGTTGTTACCAAAATAATTGTTCATTACCCCTTTAAATAATCTGTATATAAATTTGGCTTGTCTGTCTGTTTGGGTGTCTGGGTTTTTGTTTGTTTGTATCTAATTAACGTCAAAACGGCTGAACCAATCGGGCCCAATTTTTTTGTGGGACATCACGTGAACACAGGGAAGGTTTATGAATGATAAAAATTTAAAAAAATGTGTTTTAAAGGTTTTTAATTTTGTAAAAAAATTTAAATTCTCGAAATTTTTTTTTCTTCTTTGTTTTAAAATGTAAACAAAAAGAACATATTCACAGTTAAAATAGAAGATGGGCGCGAAGCGCCCTAAAAGCCTAGTAATTTAAAAAAAAATCAAAATAAATAAATAAAAAAATTGTAACATTCCTTTGTATTCAGTATCGGGAATATTGGTTTAGAATAAAAATATAAATATTTTCCCTCTGTTGCTATGGGAAGTTCTTTATTTTTTAAAAATCAAGTTAGACAAATGATGAATTAAGTTTTTAACTGTCAAAAATTCAAAGTTTTTGTGTTGTGAATTTCGAGATCAAGAATTGATCTTTATCTTATGCAAACGGACGGATAAATTTAATCTCTCTTTGTTATCCTGTAGAGTATTAACACTTTTATTAAAGAATCTTAAAGTGCCCGCATTGGATATTGAGATAAAGTAATTAAGAAATACGATACTACACACTAAAGTTCAGACCTCTGAGATCAAAACTTTTGTTGTGAAAGCTTTTGTGTGACCATGCGCGGTTTATCCAAGAGGAATTAATCTAATCCGTGACAGTACAAGAACTATTTGATCCTGGGATTAAGGATACAAAAGTTATGAAATCTGTTCATGTGAAATCTGTTCATGTTGTATAAAGAATCTGCAAGACAAGCATTTCTACCGTTTTGTTTAAAAACATTTCTTATTTTGATAAATCGTTTATACTCGTCTTGAATAGAATTTTATATATTCCTGGAACGGAATTGTTGAATTGGAGAGAGGTCGCGGAATTACCTACCGCCGGTTCAAATCCCGAATCACCGATTTAAATCCTTATTAATCAATTTAACTTTGAATCAGTGATTCAAGGTTTGAACTGTCTGTAGGTAGTTCAGAGACCTAGCTCAAATTTATTAAATTCGGTCCCAGGTTTCATTATTTTTGATTTCTTATCTTAAATCCCAAATTTATATATTATTTCAAATTCTCAAAACTAAAATATTGATATTTATGAGAATGTCCCTGGTTAGCCTCAAATATGCTCGGGTTCCTGAAAACAATTTCAATATTTTAAATTTTTTTTAAATTAATTAATGATTAATTAATTAAAGGAACAACCAAGAATAAGAATATTTTTATTTTGAAAGAAATTGAGTCTTTGCTACAAACTCTGATTTTCTAATCCCTTTATCTTTGCAACCCGATGTCGTAGACCTTAGATATTTCAAACTATAAGTTTTACTAGATCAAATAACTTAAGTTTGTAATATCAAAGGTTTACACTATCAGGTTGCGAAGATATAAGAATTTGAAAATTTTACTTCGTGACAAAGACTCAATTCCTTTATCAAAATATTATTTTGTATGATATTTATTTTATCTTCACATATCGAGAATTTTCAAAAGCACCACAAAATCCTGTCCTTAAAGTAAGACAGGGAACATGGTTGAGTAAGGTCCCAAAAAAATACAGTAATAGTGTTGATCATACTGCACAAAACATCAGTATCTTAACTCAACTCTACATTTTTAGAGTGGATGACCAATTTTTAAAAGCTTAATTTGATAAACAAAACAAAAAAATTAACCAAATTCTCTTCCACATTTTTCTGAAACAATGAAGGATATCTTCAGCATTAAAACTTTTACGTAGAGAAATGACTATATATTCTGTTAATCAGATAAAGGTTTAAAGGGTACCGTTGTGAATAGGCCATGCGCTTTTTTTAAATGGAGTCTCTTAAAATTACAACGACAGTCCTTTAAATCTGATCTGAGCTGAAAACTTTAGAATGGTGGATGTCGTGATTAATGCTTGATCCTCTCTTTTTTATAATATCGAGACTAATCTAATCTTGTACTTGTATCCTGAAAAGTGTATGAAATTCAACCAATCAGAGTCGCGTATATGAAACCGATAAATTTGAAATTTTGCGCGCCATTTAAGATTATATACAGAAACGGGAGGAACTTTCTAATTTAGAAAAACCGGTTTTTGATTTTTCTCTACTATATCCAAGAAAGAACGAATTAAGAAAAAAAAGTGTGTTATAAGGATATCTCATTCTAAAGTTTTCAGCTCTGATCAAATAGGTGAAACATATGTTTAAAAAATTAATTGATTTAAAAAAAATAATTACCTTGAATCAAACTTAATAGTTTTGGTTCTATTATTTACAGAAACATTTATATCTATTTTTATATCATCACCACCTAAAATGTTTCCTTAATATTTCTTTACATTATCATTATCAATATCATTATCATTACCATTATCATTATCATTATCATTATCATTATCATTATCATTATCATTATCATTATCAATATTATTATCATTATCATTATCATTACCATTATCGTTATCATTATCATTATTATGACCTTTATGCCCATTATATACAGGTTGAAGGTCCTCTAGTACAGTGCTAGTGTATGGAGTATATCCTGGAACAAAGTTTATATTTCTAAATAGATAAAGAGCGAGGAGGGGGGTGGTGGTAAATTTGCGAAATGCACAGTTATCCTGCTTACTATTTAAGTTTGATTAACCGCTAAAACAATCGCTGCAGCCCAATGTCGTTTAAAATTGATATTTCAAACTATGAATTCTGTTAGTTCAAATAGTCTAAGTTTGAAATATCAAAGATTTACACCATTAGGTTGTATGAATTATCTAATTGTATGTATTATCTATTATGATATTGTATGAATTATCTATTATGATATTGTGTGAATTATCTATTATAATATTGTATGAATTATCTATTATGATATTGTATGAATTATCTATTATGATATTGTATGAATTATCTATTATAATATTGTATGAATTATCTATTATGATATTGTATGAATTATCTATTATGATATTGTGTGAATTATCTATTATAATATTGTATGAATTATCTATTATGATATTGTATGAATTATCTATTGTGATATTGTATGAATTATCTATTGTGATATCGTATGAATTATCTATTGTGATATTGTATGAATTATCTATTATGATATTGTATGAATTATCTAATTGTATGTATTATCTATTATGATATTGTATGAATTATCTATTATGATATTGTATGAATTATCTAATTGTATTGATATTGTATGAATTATCTATTATATTGTATGAATTATCTATTATGATATTGTATGAATTATCTATTATAATATTGTATGAATTATCTAATATAATATTGTATGAATTATAACAAATATTTTACCTGGTTTTACTGTAGTATCAGTTTGTATTGTAGTTAGTACAGGTGCCCGAGGGGATCCATAACTATCCGGTTCTCCAGAACTACAGCAAAATGTATACATTAAGGGCCTGTAGGCATAATTTCAGGTGATCCTTCATTTACAATGTGGTATGTCCACTACAGTATGCCGAGTTCATTAGCGCCTGATCCAATCAGGGTTCACTCATTTGTTTGTTGTCTATTCTGAACCAATAAAAATAGTATGGCGGTAACATTTATCTTTCTATCTATCTCATTATCCAATTAGAGTTATGAATCCTTCAATCGGCGCTAACAACAGTAAATGGAAATATTTACTTCTACTGAAACTATAGTGAATCGGGCTTGGGACTCATTAAATAATGGGTCACCTGAAATTTCGTCTACGTCTAAAAACCATTTATTGAGAAATGCATTAATTGCATAAGATCAATTTTCTTGCTGTTTAAAAAATTCTAAAAAATTAGTTTAGAGTTGTATTGAAAAAAACCTTTAAAATAGATGAAATTTTTATATAAAAAAGTTACAGATAGAATTGTATTTCCCTGAGTTTAAGTTAGAAAGAGCCAATAATGCAAAAACCTAAGTTGCTTTTCAAATGTAAATTATACGACGCTACCATGATTATTGAAATCATTGATGTAAGTACTATATTACCCTTTAAAGAGTAAATATTAATTTAAAACTGCATTTATTGTATATAGCTGAATACCACCATCTGTTGAATTATCTGCTTTAACCTTAGATTCATATCTTGTATGGTTACAAGGTTATTTTTATTACACTATATCCATCCAGGAGGGGGGGGGGGGGGGGGGTTCATCTCTTATCTGTTCAGTATACAGGTAGTTCACAAAACATCATTCAACGTTTCAAAAATTTGATTATGTAATACTTGACTTTTTACTTCAAAAATAAATTAAATAAATAAAACTTTAAATTGACTGTAATCGTATCTTGAAGTAACTCTCCGTGCAAAGATATTAATGATCGATTCCCAACAGTACCCTTGAAACTTTATTCTGATAAAGAATAAGGAAGTTAGACATCGTAGTTTTTCTAAGATTAAAAGGGGTTAATTCTGATAATTCCTGCAGTATAAATGCCCATCTCACTTTTATATAAAATCAAATGCCTATCCTGTCATGTCTCAAGTTGAAAATGAAAATCTGTAACATTTGATCAAAAAAGAGGTCTTTAAATTTTGTTTTATAATTTCCCCCAACACTTGATAAAGTTTACTATTTACACTGTTACCCTTTAAAAGGATAAGGTGAAGGGTTTTAATAATAATTACCCCCCTGATAAAATGTGTCTCCCCGGAAAAAGGGATTTGCTAATGAAAGGAAAAGACAAATTATCCGTAAAAGCATTTCATTTCATTCATTTTCATTTATAATTCTAGTTTATATTTATTGCTTGAGCAGGGAACTTTTAAAGTAACTTTTAAACTTAAACTTTGTCTTTGCCACAAACTCAAATTTTTTTAATCCATATATCTGCACAACCTGATGGCGTAAAACTTTGATATTTTAAACTTAGAACTTTTGATCTTACAGAATTCATTGTTTGATATATCTAAGGTCCACGACATTGGGTTACAAAGATATTGGGGGTATAGCATCAGAGTTTGTGGCAAAGACTTAATTCCTTTGGAGGTTGGCACAATTATCAAAATGAATTTTTGATCAATGAGAAAGGGAATTACTTTAGCTCATTTCAAAGGATTTAATTTATTTCAATCCCATAATTAACTTTTTGTGAAACTAAAAGTAACAATCCAATACCTGAATGTTGTTTGCTGTGGAGAAAAATAGGTTTCAGTATTCTCCCCTACTGGAGCTGAATAGGTTTCAGTATTCTGCACTACTGGAGCTGAATAGGTGTCAGTATTCTTAGCTACTGGAGCAGAATAGGTTTCGGTGCTTTCAAATACAGGAGAAGAGTAGGTTTCAGTGTTGCCCCCTGGTACTGGAGATAAATATGTCTCAGTCCTGCCGCCACCTGGAGCTGTATACCTATGGAACTGCTCCTCTGTTGAGAGAATCTCCGGTTGTTGATTTGTCAGGGTTGAGGACTCATCCCGGGAAAAGATTTGACTAAACGTGGTCGTTTGATCAACTATCCGGGGACTTATTCCGTCAAAATCAGTGATGACATCGCCAGAGGGGTTTCCGTACTCATCGTTTTCTTCTGATAATCTGATAGAATTATACTTCTCCGCATCATCTGAAACATCCTGACTCAAGGATACATACGGAGCAGGAGCATTGTTTTTGTAGCTTGTTCGTTGTCTGGGCTTTGTTTGAGAGCTTGTGATTAAGCCTTGAAACCCATTGGGGGTAGGCGGAGGTCTGGGATTAGACTGTATTGGTGGAATTAGAGTAGAAAAGACAGCAGGAGAAGAAGTTGGGCTCTCTATAACCTTTCCTTGTTCAAACTTCTTATCAAGGCCAATTGGTCGTAGAGGGGAATATGAGGGTTTGGGTGGTATAATGATGGGAGGCAGGGTGGTGGTTCGAGGTTGGGGAGTCACAAATATTGATTGTGGTTTTTCTGTTGTTTTCCGTTTCGAGGATTTATAAGCAGGTTGGGGTTTTGACAGGAATATGGTTAATGGAATAGTGTCACTTGAAGGGACAGAATTTTTTACTGGAGATCTTGGTGGAGCAATAGGTTGGGAGGGAGGAGCAATAGGCTGGTAGTTAGTTTGTTGGGATGGTTGATAACTAGGTTGGGAAGTTTCTTGGACTGGTTGATAGCTAGGTTGGGAAGATTGTTGAACTGGTTGATAGCTAGGTTGGGAAGTTTGTTGAACTGGTTGATAGCTAGGTTGGGAAGTTTGTTGGGATGGTTGATAGCTAGGTTGTGAAGATTGTTGAACTGGTTGATAGCTAGGTTGGGAAGTTTGTTGGGAAGGTTGATAGCTAGGCTGGGAAGTTTGTTGGGATGGTTGATAGCTAGGTTTGGAATCAATAGGAGCAGGTTGGTAACTAGAACTAGGAGGAGGGGTTGGAAGGGGAGGAGCAGGAGAACTATTTGGGAGAGGAGCAGAGAACGGAGTATCATAATTTTCATCATTTATCTCAGGGCTAGCAGAACTATACTGAGTTGACACATAACTTGGTTTGAAATCTGCGGAACCTATCGGAGCTGATGGAGTTACAAAGTTTGATGGAGAAAAGTTTGAGACTTTATCACCTTGACCACCACGCGACTTGTATTCTTGTATAGGCCGGTCTGCTTCATCATCTCCTTTATTTCTTTGTGTGGTGGAGCTCCTCGCCTTAGGGTTGTAAACCTCGTTGTTCGAGTAGGTTTTTATACCAACATCAGGAGTTTCAGAACCAGGGACAGGAGGCAGCTTTTCTAGGGGTGGATTCACAGATAAATAGGTATCTGGTGGAGGCAAAACCTTCGCTGGATTCTCTGAAAAAAAATAAAATGCATCTTTAAACAATTAGAATCTAGAAAAATTTAAACTCCATTGGTATTCAAAAACAAACATTCGTGCTAATCCATTCAATGATAAGATATTGAAAACCTGTGCATGTCATGCTTTAATTTTACTAAATTTTCAAAATACAGAAAAAGCCCAGGATACTTACACTAACTGGATTTAAGACACAAGAATGGTTTCGCCCTTATAATGAAAGATAATTAAGGCTTGCCAACAAAAACGGCTTTAAATAAAGCATGTTTTTGTAATTATATTTCCGTATCTATTTTATTTTCCAAATTTACTTTTCAAGTATTACCTAATGTCGGTGTATTATCTTCTGAATTGACGACAGAAATATATATATTTGGATTTGCTGGTTCTCCTAATATATAAATATATATTAATAATAAATATAAATTATATGTTTAGGTCACCAAAATCAACAATTTAGGTCATCAGAGGTCGGAATTAATGAATAGCAAGAAGTAGTTGAATTAGGAACGCAAAAATGAAAACATTTTTAAAAAGCTTGGAAACTTTGAAAGATCTTTTAACTTGACATTCTCAAAATGTGCTCATTACAGTATTTACCATCAAGCTCTCTTCTTAAGATGTGGAATAACCTGCCTCTTGACTTAAAAGAAGCATTTCTCTAAGTATATTTAAAAATAGACTACTAAATTCTCTTTTTGAAAATTACATTACGATGTGTTATAAACCGAATTGCTATTCATGTAAAACTAATTAGATATGTTTTAATATGCTTTGATATTTGTTGTGTACATGTCAGAAAATTACTTTAAACTCTAGTTATTCGAATTAATGTATAAACTATTTTGCATATGATAAATTTGCACCCTGATGTCTAATCGTTCTCCTTAAATCTATTTAATTGAAATGTTTTGTTATCATTATTAAAATTAGGTGGAAAAAATAATCAAAACAGCCAAGAGCTAATTTCCACCTAATTGCTTTATACTTGTACTGTTAATATAATCACCAATTTGTAATTGTAAACTCGTTTGGTATACAGATACATGTATTTTAGCAACTTTATCTTATCTTATCTTATCTTATCTTATCTTATCTTATACTTCTCATGTATTTGAACTAGAGAACTAAATTCAATCAGCTATAAATATTCTTTACAATAAATTATAAATTCCTCTCTAAGGAAACATCAAAAGGAGAAGACTTTCCGAAATACAAAATCATTAGGAAAACAAAACTTAAAATCACATGATTAGTGCATCCCGATTACAAATACGTTTTAATTCTAATTAAAACTATACATTTTCTTAATTTATACTAGCTGAAGTGTCTGCAGTTGCCCATTGAATTTTTTAAAATAAAATTTTGAAAAAAGTCGATTTTTGAAAAAAATAGATTTTTGAAACAAAAAAAATCAATTATTTATCCTTTGTTACCCCCAGGGTACCTATGGGTTCACTTAAAAGCAGACATATAATTATATTTAGGTATTTATCTAATCTATCTATAATATAAATACTGTAGTAATCTCTGCTTATGTGTTTGCATGTCCGATCATAACTCTGGAACCCTTCGACCGATTTGCCTTAGATTTTAATTAGAGAACTCGTTAGAACCACGAAAATTCTCGGCGCAGGATTCAATGATTTTAACTTGAGCTGGTCAACTTTCATTCCATACAGAGCTGGGTTTCCAAACTATTTTAATCAAGCAAAATTTAATATTGCGTTTTAATCAGACAATCTTTAGTCTTAAAAATGTCCAATAAAATTGTGTGTTATGCTTCTGTTTTTAAAAGTATAATAATATGAAAATTCTAAACAAACCTAAAGATATGTATGAATCTGGAGCTTGAACAGGTTCAGGTTCTTTTTTCCCGTCTGAAAGAAAATGGAGTTAACCCTATTTTGCTGGGGTACTTTAAAACCAGGATACGCTGGGGGAGGGGGACCCCCCTCTAAATCCCATGTTTGATGTCCAAATATGACAAATGATACATGATACAAATAAAAAACCTTAAACATGCCATTGCAAATATGCAACAAATTTTGATAAATTTTAAATAAGCTGATGTGTACGTAAGAAAAACTAAAAATGAGCAAAGTTCCTTGACGGGTTTAATGCAAATGAAATGCAAATTTTTTTTTTGCAAAACTTGTACAATCCGTTTCCTAATGTCAAAGACTTTCCAAAAAAAAATAAAAATTATCAAATTATCAATTGAAAGTGGGTCAAAACAAAGACTTAGTTTGTTACAGGAAAAAGTAGTCATTCAGGCAGTGTGTCTGAGGACTTAGGCAGTTAGTATAAAAGCCTGGTTTTATACTTAAAGGAAGGGCTATGGGTATTTAGGAGAAGTCAGAAAATTTCAACAGCCTCAGACCAATTCTTTTAAACTTGTGTAAAAAAAACTACAGGGGGGGATGGTTCAAATTACCCCCCCCCCCATTTTGAAGTTTTGATTAAAAGAAGAACCTGAATTAAATGTAGGCGAGAGATAGTTTTCTGTTATTTCCTCTCCTATACAAAAATACATTTATGTATATATATACATGTATAAAAATGAAATTTTTGAAATGTGCTTTGTGCAGAAAATATTTGCTTTGATTAATATTGCAAATGATTCATCTAAATTTTGCTAATCGGAGTTGCATACATTTTATAAATGCACAATATGTAAAGCCAATAAATTTTCCTTGCAATATTATCTACTTTGCAATATCATATACCTTGCAATATTATGTACCTGGCAATAATATTTTCCTGACAGTATTATCTTCCTTACAATATTATCTACCTGGCAATATTATCTACCTGGCAATAGTATCTACCTGGAAATATCATCTACCTGCAGGGAATATTGGCTTCATGGCAAAATTATCTGCTTGGCAATATTATCTACCTGCAAAATTATCTCCTTCGCAATATTTTCTACTTGGCAATATTATCTACCTGGCAATATTTTCTACCTGGCAATATTATCTACCTGGCAATATTATATACCTGGCAATATTATCTTCCTGGGAATATTATCTACCTTACAATATTATCAACCTGGCAATATTATCTACCTGGCAATATTATCTACCTTACAATATTATCTTCCTGGCAATATTATCTACCTCACAATAATATTATCCACCTGGCATTATTATCTACCTTACAATATTATCCACCTGGCAATATTATCTACCTTACAATATTATCTACCCGGCAATATTATCTACTCGGCAATATATTATCTACCTGGCAATATTATCTACCTGGCAAAAGAAGTTTATTTTCTGGTTCAGGGTACTCATATCCAGCTCTTCGTGTACTGGCAGGTTCAAGGCTAGACAGTACATTTATCGTTGTACAATGTACAATGTACTCTTTATTAATGTACAAGATATAACAACAATGTACAAGGATACATGAATGGGTTACAAATTTACAATTACAAGACAATATGGTGCAAGATTGAATTGAATTATGATAATTTTTAGTTGTATTAAATACTAGCGGAAGGGCCCGGTGTTCTCAGAAACTTATGTCCAAAATGCATGTAATAAATGTACAGAGATGTTTTAAAGATATTCCTATTATATAGATTAACTAGGTCGGTTGTGAACATTGGCTGTTCTTATGTGATTGAGTACTTGTGGTGTACATGAGTTCTGTAGAGAGAAATTTATGTTAGTTTAATCTTTCTCATGTCCTTCTTCAGTTCTCGTCAATATGATGTATTGCTCAGTGAAATATTGTTGTTCAAATAGTTAAATTAAAACACCAAACCACCCCGCTTATCATTGAAGTACACTTTGACCCCTAGAAGTATGAGTTCGCGGACTGTACAATTCTTGGTGATTTTGCGTACATAAGCTATCTACGTTTATTTATTTATCTATGTAATTTACCTTTCTGATTGAATTACTATAGGTGGATACAGAATATCCAGTGTTCCTGTTATAGGATTGTAGTTGGTGGATACTGGGGATTCGGTTACTTCGGGAAAAGTATCTATTGGTGGGTTGGTCGTCTTCTTTTTTTGTTTCGCAGATTTTTTCAGTGATTTGGAGGATTTATGCTGTTGAGGAACAATCTTTGGACGTTTTTTCGATGCTGAAAATAAAATAAAAAACTTTAAATAAGGATTTGTTGAGCTAATTTAAATTTTCTAATACAAATTTTTTCGTAAGAAAAAAGGCAATTCTAAGAACCTAGTATTTTTCTATTTCTATAGGAAGACATGAAAATAACCCTTCATTTAGTCCTTTAAGCGACATAAATTCATATGTTAGCCATTGCTATTTAAAATAAATATAGTATAATCGGATAGTTTTCATAATATAAGTTTCAATTTTTTTGTTAAATTACTTAAATTTTCGTAAATTTAAACAAATTTTAAAAATTCCGAAATTAATTTTTCCTCGAACTTTCGCTAAAAGTTTACTTTTCTCAGATTTTTTTCAATTTTTATCAACATTTATCAATTTTTTAAAACATGATAAATGGTGATTTTGTAAATTGCATTCCTTTAAAATAAGATTTTTGAGATTTATATTAAATATATTCGAAAAATTGGGGCACAAGTAAATTGACATTTTTTCGAAATTCGTTAAAAACCCTACTAAATCCTTATCTTAAAAAACCCTATTAAATCTATATCTTAGTGTGTAAATTGTACCTGTAGCTGATGGTTGACCGGAAATAGGTTTAGCTGCGAATATCTTCTTGTTTTCATCTTGCACATCAACATATTCATAAACATACTCAAACTCATAATCAGAACTATCATCTTCATAATCATTAAACCCCTAGATTATTAGATTTTAGTCCTATTCCTAGTTCTAGTTCTTGTCCTCTAGTTCTTGACCTATCCTAGTCCTAGCCCTAGTCCTAGTTTTAGTCCTATCCTAATCCTAGTCCCAGTTCTAGTCCTAGACCTACTCATAGTCCTAGTTCTGGTCCTAGTCCTAATTCTGGTCCTAGTCCTAGTTCTTGGCTTAGTCCTAGTTCTGGTCTAGTCCTAGTCCTGGCCCTAGTCCTAGGTGGTAGGTATAGTCCGAGTTCTAATCCAAGTCCTGGTCTGAGTCCTAGTCCTAAGTAGTCGGTATAGTCCTAGTCCTAGTCCTAGTCCTAGCCCTAGTCAACGTCCTAGTTCTAAACCTAGTCCTAGGTAGTAGGTATAGTCCTGGTTCTAGTCTCCTAGTCCTATTCCTACTCCTTGTTCTAGTCATATTTCTGGTCCTAGTCCTAGTTCTGACCCTAGTCATAAACCTAGTCCTCGGTAGTAGGTATAGTCCTAGTTCTGATTCTTATCCTAGTCCTAGGTAATAGGTATAGTCCTAGTTCTGGTCTTAGTCCTAGTCTTAGTCCTGGCCCTAGTCCTAGTCCTAGTCTTAGGTAGTAGGCATAGTCCTAGTCCTAGTCCTAATCCTAGTTCTAGGTAGTAGGTATAAACTTACTCCTAGTCAACGTCCTAGTTCTAAACCTAGTCCTAGGTAGTAGGTATAGTCCTGGTTCTAGTCTCCTAGTCCTAGTCCTAGTCCTAGACTTAGTCCTAGTCCTTGATCTAGTCCTTGTCCTAGTCCTAGTCCTAGTCCAAGTCCTAGTACTAAACCTAGTCATGGTAGTAGGTATAGTCCTAGTTCTAGTCTTATATTCTGATTCCTAGTCCTATTGCTAGTACTAGTTCTAAATTATTATTTTCTGGTTTATGAGATGTTGTATAAGTTTCAAAATCTAATTCTTTAAAAAAAAAATTAAATCTTTTTTATCAATATTTGCTAGAAATAATAATTTTTAATACTTATTCTATTTCTTTACATTTATTTTTACCTCTTGTCTCACTCTCTCAAACAAAGCTCTATAAAGTAGAATGTTTCACAATTTTAATGAATAAAAAGAAAATGATTTTTAAGAGGTTGTCCGCAAAACTCTAATTGCTAATTGCGACACAAAATTGCATGTAATCGTCGATCTCTAGAATATATTAAATCGTTGAGATTAAATTAGAAAATATTGACAATATTTTCAAAATTTGAATTAGAAATCGGGAAACTTTCCTAAGGGTTGTCAGGGCTTGTGTGCGTTTCGTAGTCGTCCCTAGTTGTATCAGCGTTTTTTATTAAGGGAGAATAAATTTAATTCTTTTAAAGTACGACTTCAACTTCTGGCTTGAATTCCCTTTATTTTTTAAAATGATGATTATGGGTGCGAAAGTAAAGGCACCCTGACCAAAACCAGTAAATTTAAATTGAACCACCATGGGCCATGCATTATTTGAAATATGTTTAAAAATGTGTTTTCAGACATGGGGTAGAGGGGATTAAGAAATGATGAGAATTATAAACTACGAAGATAAAGTTTAAGAGATACAATTATAGTGCATAAATTTATAAGTAACCTAGTACAACTACTTCTAATTCTTTTAATTTAATAATTGATTTGGGATTGGTTTGTTGATTTGTGGGATTTCCTAAAGGTGCTCGAGGTGTAAATATTTCAGAAAAGGACTTTGGGGTTGGAGTTACAGTCCCAACCTTTCACAGGTATTATTAATTCATAATTATCATTAATTCATAATTATCATTTATTCATAATTATCATTAATTCATAATTATCATTAAATCATAATCATCATTAAGTCATAATCATCATTTATTCATAATTATCATTAATCATAATCATCATTACTTTATAATTATCATTACTTCATAATCATCATTACTTTATAATCATCATTAATTCATAATTATCATTAATTCATAATCATCATTAATTCATAATCATAATTTATTCATAATCATCATTACTTTATAATTATCATTACTTCATAATTATTATTAATTCATAATTATCATTAATCATAATTATCATTAATTCATAATTATCATTAATTCATAATTATCATTTATTCATTATTATCATTAATTTATAATCATCATTAATTCATAATGATCATTAATTCATAATGATCATTAATTCATAATTATCATCATTATCATTATTTCATAATTATTATCATTTCATTTTGAGGGAACCCATGGGTGCCCGGGGAGAAGTATAGACTTTACAAAATTTCAACATTTTTTTCTTCAAAATTCTAATTTTTTTTCTTTCAAATATCGAATTTTTTTTTTCTTCAGAATTAAAAAATTAAATTCCACGGGCTACGCCGGGCACTTCAGCTAGTAATCATTAATTCATAATTATGATTATTTCATTATTATTATAAAGTCGATATTATTATTTAGTCATAAATTAAAAACATGTATTCACACATATATGATATAAACTCAAGTATCAATTGAGATATTGCGTGATTACTGGATTAATTGAGTGATTAATGGTTTAATTTGGTGATTAAAAGATTAATTGAGTGATTAATAGATTGATTGGGTGATTAATAGGTTAATTGAGTAATTAATTGAGTTATTGCGTTATTTCTGGATTAATTAAGTGATTACCGGATTAATTTGGTGATTAATGGATTAACTGAGAGACCAATAGACTAATTAAGAGATTACTTGATTAACTTGAGTAATTAATTTATCAAATAAGCGATAATTGGATAAATTGAGTAATTTGTAGATTACTTGACGGATTAAGTTAGTGGTAAGTGGATTAATTAAGTAAATATGGATTATATGATTATTTAATTAATTAATTGAGTTATTAATGGATTAAGTTAGTGTTGATTAATTGAGGGCTTAAAGGATCAATTAAGTGATTAATTAGAAAATATGGATTATTTGATTATTTAATTAATTGATTCAGTGATTTATGGATTAAGTTAGTGTTGATTAATTGAGGGCTTAAAGGATCACATGAGTGATTAATTAAAAAATGGATTGATTAATTAATCAAATGATTGATTAGGTAAATTAGAGAACCTGGAAAGACCGATCCTCGGCTTTCTTCTTAACTTCAGCTTTTGCAGATCTTGGAACTATCTCAGTGCTACTAAACATTTGTTAACATTTTTATCTTTTAAATTTTAATTTCAACAAAACTCTATAATTTAGATGATATAAGCTGCAAGTATTTTGACATTTATACTTTTCTAAATCTCTATTTTCTTCTTGTTGTTCGTGGATCATCTATCATGTTCGGCTAATTTTGTCCTTTCAATTTCTGCCAAATTTTTTTTTTGCTAAAAGACTAACTGGTTTACTAAACACCAATTTCAGTTTTCGTCTTTTAAAAAATTTCCCAAGTTTTGAAATAATAAAAACCTGAATAGATCAAGAAATCCAGAGTTTAGTTTTCTGGCACTTCTTAAACCAAATCCTCCAGGTGTGCTGGGACCTTCTAAAAAATAGCAAAACAAATAATAATAATGCTAATAATAATGATAATTTTAATGATAAAAATTATATTAATAATATTAATAATAATTGATAATGATAATGATAATGATAATGATAATGATAATGATAATGATAATGATAATGATAATGATAATGATAATTATAATGATAATGATAATGATAATGATAATGATAATGATAATAATGATAATGATGATATAATGATAATGATAATGATAATATTAATAATAATAATAATGATAAATGCTCATAACAATATTAATAATAATGAAAATGATAATAATAATGACAATGATAATAATGACAATGATGATAATAATAATAAAGATAATAATGATAATGATAATGATAATAATAATGATAATTTAAAAATAATATTAAGAAAACTAATAATTACAATAATAATAATAATGATAATATTAATACAAACCTTCTGCTGGATTCCAAGATGCAGAAACGACACCAAGTGTTATCAACAGTAATACATGGTTCATCCTTCATCACATCATTTCAATTAATCAATTAACCAATCAATCAATCAATCAATCAATCAATCAATCAATTAATCAATTAATCAATCAATCAACATATCAATCAATCTACCAATCAATTAATCGCTCAATCAATAAACCTATTAATCAATCAATATCTGATTCTCCAAATCTACTCAAGGTTTGTATACTATAAAGGTAAAGGGGTATAAGGGTTGGGTACACATTGGATGTGAGGTATTTGGATCTTGGCCTGTTGAAGCAAGCAATGGACGGAACCATGTGCATTGTGCAGGGTACAATCTAAGTTTTAAAATGAAAAAAATTTAATACAACAGAAAAATCGCTTATATTAAGCAAAAATTTGCTTGTCTTAAAAAATTGCTGTTTTGGCAGCTATTTAACTTTTCCTGTGAAAAAAACGATTTTTTGTCGCAGCCATCCAACTTTTAATATTTCAAAATTCTGAGTGTAAGAAGATCTGCAGGAATATCTTAAAAAAGATCTGTAGAAAGATCTGTAGGAAGATCTTTAAGAAGATCTGTAAAAAGATATGTAGGAAGATTATTATGAAGATCTGTAGGAAGGTCTGTAGGAAGATCTGCAGTAAGATCTGTAAAAAGATATGTAAGAAGATCTGTAGGATGATGTGTAGGAAGATCTGTAGGAAGATCTGTAAAATGATATGTAAACAGATTAGAAGGAAGATCTGTAAAATGATATGTAGAAAGATTACTAGGAAGTTCTGTAGGAAGATCTGTAGGAAGATCTGTAAAATGTATGTAGAAAGATTACTAGGAAGATCTGCAGGAAGATCTGTAGGAAGATCTGTAGAAAGATCTGTAAAATGATATGTAGAAAGATTACTAGGAAGATCTGTAGGAAGATCTGTAGGAAGATCTGTAGGAAGATCTGTAGGAAGATCTGTAGGAAGATCGTAGGAAGATCTGTAGGAAGATCTGTAGGAAGATTTGTAGGAAGATCTGTAGAAAGATCTGTAGGAAGAGCTGTAGGAAGATTTGTAGGAAGATCTGTAGAAAGATCTGTAGGAAGAGCTGTAGGAAGATTTACTTACTATTTTTTAAAAAAACCTGAAACCAGCTACTCAGCAATGAACAGTCTTTATACGTCACAGTAGCTAAGTGCATGCCCTCCTTGTCCATCCTTCCACATAACTACCCCCCCCCCTCCCCGCCCTACACCCTTCTAATTTTAAGAATTTGTTTTTTGGGAAATACGAAATCTTTTTTATTTATATTTGTGAAAATGATTTTTTTACCTAATTTCTGAGCAAAAGAAACATTTTCATGTTTCCCTTTATCTTCTCAAACCAGGCTAGACATTCTATCTGACAGTAAAAAAATTATTGAAGGGGCAGTATGCGTAATTTTAAGTGACCTTCCATGCACACATATATGGCAATATCTGATTTACAACAATATCTTTTAAACCTTTATCTGTTTAAAATTGTGGAAAATATTGCAGTTTTTCGAATTCATACTTAAACAAACAATGCATCCAAGAGTACTGTTTTGAATCAGGCATTGCCATCTTTGCATGGTTGGTCCTTTTAAGAAACATAATTAAGTATTTAAGAACCACAATAGTTCGTTATATCTTTATTTTACAATATATACGGACTGTTAAATTCAAGTTGGTTTTTAATTACACAATTGTTTGAAACAGTGAATTATGAGAAACATGTATTATATTGGAGCAATTTGGAATAACTATTAAATGCAACTTAACGTCTGAGTTGTTAAAGATAAATCAAGGAACTGTATCGGCGTAATTTTAAGTTTACCATTTAAACTTAATCATCTGATTAATAATGTGGAAGAAATTGTTGTTTTTCTAGGTTGGAAAGTTTAGTTCTAACTATAGCCTCCATTGTTTCTGTAGCGGAAATCCACAATTACTCTAACAGAGAAACCTCAATTTTTAAAGTTTAAATCAAAGATATCTATTAATTCATCCTTGGTCATTCAAAGCTTTTAGGGTACAATACAACAAAAATACAGTCAAGTAAAATACGTTCAAGGCTAGTAGTGTTCAAATAAGGAGATAAAATGACTTTTGAAACAGAAAAATGTTATAATTTTGAAAAAAGAAAAAATTAAGAATTCAAAGATGAAATAAATAAAACGTTAAATACAATTTGTCAAGTTAAAAGTACTTTTATCAGGACGAGTTAAAATTGTATATCAACCTTTGAAAAGACATTTAGTTAATTGAACTTGTTATTACATTATTCTTTATTATTCTTCTTCTACGACCTTTTCAATTAAAATTGTATATCAACCTTTGAAAAGACATGTAGTTAATTAAACTTTTTATTACATTATTCTTTATTATTCTTCTTCTACGACCTTTTCAATTAAATTACCATTTTTCATTAGAACTGAAAGTCCTAAAAAATGATTAGAATAAAATGGTTTTCTGAAGAAAATAAATTGAATTGAGATTTTTAGAATTTGTATTAATCAAATAAGATAAAACTTGTTAAAACTCTCAATTAATTAAAGAGCTAGAAAAAGCAAGATGAGATAATGAATGCATTCTTAATTACTCCTTTTAAATGTGCAATTAGCATGCTGTAATACGATCTAATGGATGAATAACTAAAGATTTAAAATCTATTTTTCAAGGTTTAGGTGCACAAGGTGCAGGTTTGCATTAGAGTTCACATAGTTTAGATTTATGTATACATATATACATACATCCTACAACCATATGGAGGCCTTAGGCTGCTTATTACAAGTCAATTATTACTTTAACCAAAGCAACAATATTTTTGTAACTGTCAGACCAATATCAGGCTTTGTTTAGGTCATTCAGATATTTAAAATTATAAATTGATTATTTTTATATACATTAGTGTCTCAAAAAGCAATGTATCCCTAAATTAAAACGAGGCGCATTTCTTCTTCTGAAAACAAAACTCAAAGATATTTTTCCATTAAAGTTAAAGAAATTATTTACTCGCATCAAAATATAATTTTCTAATCTAATCATTAACATCATGGTGAAAACCAATAGTTTGAACATAGATCATAATTTAAAATATGAAAGGTATACAACATCAGGTTACAAAGATAATATAAACACTGTATTTCCGTCATCCAAAAGCAGCCTTCCTTGTATTTCAAGAGGCAGTATAACTTCCTTGTGTGATGAATTAGTTATCATGCAGTACCCGATATACTACACGAAATACGGTGGTTAAAATTCTTATATAAGAACAGAACAGTTCAGTTCTAAGGCACTAGGATCAATTGACCGTACCAAAAAATATATATGTGGAAAAAAACGTTGTAATTATCAACCAATATATTAATAATTCAATTATGTTATTAAAAATATGTTGTCATAAACCAATTATAAAGATACTTCATATATGAACTGTCACGTCAAAATTGACACTTTTGGTTTTAAAATATAAAGATGCATTTAAACTTAGTTTTTTTTTATAATTTTGATAATTTATATCTATCATTCAATTTTATCGTATTAAACAATTTATAAATATTGCATTTATCAGCAATTGTCTTCCTGTTATGGGAAATAATGGATCCACAGTTTTTAAAAATTAGATCTAAAAACTTTAAAAAAAAAACGTCTCCTGGAGATTGATTTGAACATATACACTTGATTGATTTTATATATATCTTTATCTTCATTTACATCTACATATATATACATCCTAATGATCTTCATCTACTTCTTCATCTACATACATATAGATCCTAATCATCTGCATCTACATCTTCATCTACATACATATACATCCTAATGATACATTTCAAGTTTTGACTAGCTATTTGATTCTAACCTAGTATGATATATGGAAAATCCACGACATTAGGGTTCAAAGATATTAGGAATACAAAATTAGAGTTCGAGTCAAATAATCAGCTTCTTTTACAAATATTTTTGACATTTTAAACAGGATTTTATTTATTTAAAAAATTATATTTTCGGAATTTTTTCTTAAAGTTTCACGTAAAGACTCACTAATATTGTTCACATCCAACAACACGTGTTGTATATATAGTATTGACGCCTGTAGCTTGTATTACGCAACTGAATCTATTTTCTCTGTTTTCAATGGCGAGGTCTTGGACAAGACGCACCAGCTGCGTTAATAGTACACACCGACGTTGATGTTACCTCCGGTTTGCGCGCCAAGTTGCGGAGCGCCGTGCGTCAGGTTGAAGAGAAGAAATTGATCTTAATGTGAATTTAATTTTAATTGACCCTCCATGCAAAGATTGCGATGTCAAATTCGCATAGGTACTCTTAAACGCTTGTGTGATCATGTATGAATTAGATATTCAATGTGTATAGTTTTCAAAACTGATACTTTTCAATTGTGGTTTCTCTAAAGAAGTGATTTGCGAACTTGTACTGCATTAACAATATAGGGATTATCAGAATCAAACATTTGTCAACCCAGAAAAACGACAATATCTTCCCCATTGAAGATCAGATAAAGGTTTCAAGGGTACTGTTGTGAATCGGACATTGACATATTTGTATGGAGGGTCACATTAATTGTCTAAAGATTTACAAGCCATTTGACAGAGAAACCAATATTTGAAAATATCCAATTTGACAGAGAAACCAATATTTGAAAATATCCAATTTGACAGAGAAACCACATTTGAAAATATCCAATTTTACAGAGAAGTCGCATTTGAAAATTTGACAGAGAAACCACATTTGAAAATTTGACAGAGAAACCACATTTGAAAATTTGACAGAGAAACCACATTTGAAAATATTCATTTTTCTGAGTAAAAATGTGTAAATAATTTTTGCACAGTTAGGTATGTAGATGATTATGTATGGACCCTAATAACATAAAAATTAAAAACATATCGTCTTCCTATTTCACTGTTTCTTGGATCCTACTCTTTAACCCTATATATTTGTTCTTGCCCTAGGACTATCATTGACATCTTCTATATATAAATTTGGCTTGTCTGGGGGTTTGTATGTTTGTTTGTTTGGGTGTTTGTTTGTTTGTATCCAATAAACGTCAAAACGGCTGAACCGATCGGGCCCAATTTATTTGTGGGACATCTAGGGATTATTTTTGTTTTGTTGTACGATGTACACAAAGAGAACATGTTCACAATTAATTTAGAAGATGGGCGCGAAGCGCCCTCTAAGGCTAGTTTTTTAAATTTTAAAAAATAGTGATTTTAAGAATTTTGTGTAAACACAGTTTTTAATTCATATGGTGGGGGTAGCGGGCTAAACAAAGATTTAGACTCCAGCTTTTATAATTATAGGGTTAAGATATGAACAGTAGGTTTAATGAAAGATGCTATGCTGGTTTATTTGTATTTCTTTATTCTAATCTACACACAGCTAATATAGATCAATTAATTAATTAATTAACTAATTTATTTAATTTATCTTTGGTGACAATAGTAATATTTTCAAGTTTGTCCGTTTTTATTTCCCCTTTTCTTAGATGAGTAACAACACCATCTTTCTGTATAATATCTACACTTGTTGCAGCTTTAATCGAAGGTGTTCTCGGTTCGTCATTTTCTTCGGAACCTGTTTGATTATTTCTGTACTCATGAAATTTAGCTTCAAATCCGGAATGGTTGTTTTGGGCTTCAATAACATAAAGATCTAAAAATAGTGATTAAAGCAAACTAATTACATGCAATTAACCCAGTTTAATCTTCACTAAGAGTACATTTACAATTTAACATTTGTAACTTATGTGCCCACAATCCACCTTTTATTCGATACAGAGGACGCACAATGCATGTTCCGTAAAAAGATTGAAAAAATTTAAGCCGATGAGTCTAGTTTTAATATTCAGAATATCTTATCCAATTAAAATAATGTCTATATACTGACTTTTTTTTCAATAATGAATTAGACTTGAATGTTGACCACACAATTGTTAAACCACGCTCTCAAGGTTAAAGTTTATATATATACATTTATATAGTTATATGTATATATACATATATACATATATGTATATGAATATAGATAAACTTGAGATACAGCTCTACTTAAAAAGGATTAGATTTTAAAGGGAGTGTTCGCGAAAAAAGAAAGGGGGTATAAGCTTAACGCGATAAAAAGCGCCTTTGATCGCTAATAATGCCGCGCACCACATATATTTTTCGAAATCCGTTAAAACGTTTGCTAAAAAATTAAGTATTATAAAATATAAACTATATACAAATGACTATCGATAATCGATGATATAGGTTGTAATATCTGAATGATTTGTTTGGAATTAAATTGTTTTTTTTTACGGTCTAAGTTGTATGTTGGAATTTTCTGAATTTGTATGGGCGCTAATTTATTCGTTATGAGACGTCTTTAACAATTTTCTCCTTATAGACGCAACAATAGAACAGATAGAAGTAAAATTAGTAGCGATCAAAAGCGGATTTTTATCGCATTAAGCCTATACACCCTTCCATTTTTCGCGAACACTCCCTTTAAAGACGATATAAAACACTTAAAATTAAACAATCATAGGGTTGAATTTGAGTTTCAGCTTCCTAAACAATAGTATCTTAATGCCATAATGATAATTTGGCTAAAGACGAAACAAGTTTAATATTACATGGAACAAAGAACAAGTTTAATATTACATGGAACCAAGAACAAGTTTATGGAACCAAGAACAAGTTTAATATTACATGGAACCAAGAACAAGTTTAATATTACATGGAACCAAGAACAAGTTTATTATTACATGGAACCAAGAACAAGTTTAATATTACATGGAACCAAGAACAAGTTTAATATTACATGGAACCAAGAACAAGTTTAATATTACATGGAACCAAGAAAGAAAAACGACTGAATAAATTCCGTAGAGTAGTCTCTGAAATCTCATTCTTCATGGGTAGCCCTGTATATTTAATTATTAAAACAATATAATAACAAACTTGATAGATTTAACTTGTTATTAGTTAAAATATTGATTGAATAAAAAAAGTCAACCCGGTACGTACAAATAAAGGATAAGACATCAGAGACGACTGTACGGAATTTACTCAGTCTTTATTCTTAAGTTTATGTCTCCATGCAAGTTGCAAAGAAAAAACAAATTTACAGTTGCAACTTGCATGGCAACATAAATTTAAGAATAAAGACTGACTTTAAATTAAACCTACATCCTTTGGGAATTGTGGGTAACCTTGTAACATGTTACTTGTGTGAATTATGGGTAACCTTGTAACATGTTACTTGTGTGAATTGTGGGTAACCTTGTAACATGTTACTTGTGTGAATTGTGGGTATCCTTGTAACATGTTACTTTTGTGAATTGTGGGTAACCATGTAACATGTTACTTGTGTGAATTGTGGGTAACCTTGTAACATGTTTCTTGTGTGAATTGTGGGTAACCTTGAAACATGCTACTTGTGTCAATTGTGGGTAACCTTGTAACATGCTACTTGTGTGAATTGTGGGTAACCATGTAACATGTTACTTGTGTGAATTGTGGGTAACCTTGTAACATGTTACTTGTGTGAATTGTGGGTATCCTTGTAACATGCTACTTGTGTGAATTTTGGGTAACCTTGTAACATGTTACTTGTGTGATTTGTGGGTTAACCTTGTAACATGTTACTTGTGTGAATTGTGGGTAACCATGTAACATGTTACTTGTGTAGAGCAATGTTCAATATTCAAATCCAAAATAATTAAAAAAGTTCAAAAGACAATTAGCTTATTAAACATTTTTAAAAAATGAAATATTCTGAGTTCTTGGTCTATTTTCTAAAAAAGGCTATTTTTCAAAATCTCCCAATATACGTTTATTACAATTTTTAAAACACAAAATATAAATAGACAAAACAAAAATGCAAGGGGTCCCACTAATCAGGAAAGTAATAAGTAACATTTTAAAAATAGAAGAAAAAAACGACAAGAATTTTTTTGTTCTTACTGAGATCATAGATAAAATATATTGAATAGATATTTTTAAATTTTCCTCTAAGAAAATGTGTCTGTGCCCCAAAATCTGATTTTCTAATCCTTATATCTTTTCAAATCAAACTCGCATACCTTAGCATTCATACGATGAAATTTTGTTGGATCAAACATAATTTTGAAATATAAAAGGTTTACACCACCAGGTTGCAAAGATATAGGGATTATACCATTTTAATTTGTGGCAAATGCTAAATTCCCTTTTATGTTTGGCGCGGACACCCTGTAATCAGCATTTTTTACCTTTTCTTCTTTCTCCCGATTGAAGAGCACTAAATTAAAATCTATATATATACTTTGCTTGTCTGGTTGTCTGTCTGTCTGTTTGCTTGTATCCAATAAACGTCAAAACGGCCGAACCAATCAGGTTCAAATTTTTCTATAGGACCTAATATGACCTCAGGGATGGTTATTGAATGAAGGGCCTTGAAGATCTAATTATTTGAATTTTGACGAATTTCAAAAAAATCATTATTTCACCTTTCAATATTATTCTTCAACATTTGATTAATCTCGTGAATATTTGTATAAATCATTGTACCCAATGATGCAACCTGTAAAAAATACGAGAAATAATACAATTACTTAAATCAGTGAACAATGTACTGTATATTGTCATTTCGGTACATTCATATAATCTTTTTTAAACCTTTTAATTAAGAAATTTTAAGAGATTTTGTTATTTTGTTAATAATTTTTCCGAGCTGGGAACTTTAGAATGGTAAATATAAGGATTAATGCTTAATCCTCTCTTTTTGCTAATCTCAAGACTAACATAATCTCGAGATTATGTTAGTCTTGAGATCAAATATCTAGATCAACAAATTTGATTCTATGAAATTTTATAAAACATTAAATGCCAGCACCAGATTTTTTCGTTTTCTTGTCTGGAAGGACCTTCACTTAATTTCTCACCCATTTATTATTTAATACATTAGTTAAAGTTAGTTCAAAAAGAATCTCAAACGTATTATTACATATTTTTCTTCACGGATTAACTTACAAAATGGCCGACAATAAATTCTTTAATAGTTATAAATTGCGGAGATCTCTCATTGAATAGAATTTATTTTTCAAGGCTGTCATTATCAATACAATTTAAGAAATATTTTGCTGCAATCCCGTTGGAGAAAACAATCAATGAAAATGATTAAGCAGTCGGGATTAAAGATTATCCATTCTGAAGTTTCCAGCTCAGAGCTGGGAACTTCAGAATGGGATTTCCTTAATCCCGATCAGTTTATTATTCTTGAGATTAAAAACAAGAGAAGAACAAGCTTAATTTAATCTCGAGATTAAGAAAAAGAGTGATCAAGCATTAGTCCCGATATCCACCATTCAAAAGTACGCAGCTCAGGCCATATTTTAAGAAATGCAATTCAAAATAACAAAATCCTTGCAGTGCATTTCAACCGGCCAAAACCGAACTTCCTCATAAGGAAGTTAAAAAGGCAGTTTAACATCCTTGCAGGATGATTCATTTCTCTAAAAAGAAGTAAATATTTTGAAAAGAATATTAAGTAAAAAACCTGTTTCATGATAAAGTTCATTCCTTGCTTTAGAACCTTCATTTCAGCTGCTAAATAACTTTCTAGAAAATATGATGTTAGCAAAAATAACATAATTTTAAAAAATATCTAGATCAACAAATTTGATTCTATGAAATTAAAAAAAAAAATTAAATGCCAGCACCAGATTTTTTCGTTTTCTTGACTGGAAGGACCTTCACTTAATTTCTCATCCTTTTATTATTTAATACATTAGTTAAAATTAGTTCAAAAAGAATTTCAAACGTATTATTAAATATTTATCTTCACCGAAATTAATTTACAAAATGGCCGACAACAAATTCTTTATTTGTTAGAAATTGCGGAGGTCTCTCATTGGATAGAATTTATTTTTCAAGGCTGTCATTGGTCAATACAATTTACGAAATATTTTGCTGCAATCCCATTGGAGAAAACAATCAATGAATATGATTAAGCAGTCGGGATTAAAGATTATCCATACTGAAGTTCCCAGATCAGAGCTGGGAACTTTAGAATGGGATATCCTTGATCCCGATCAGTTTATTATTCTTGAGATTAAAAACAAGAGGAGAACAAGCATTATTTAATCTCGAGATTAAGAAAAAGAGTGATCAAGCATTAGTCCCGATATCCACCATTCAAAAGTACGCAGCTCAGGCCATATTTTAAGAAATGCAATTCAAAATAACAAAATCCTTGCAGTGCATATCAACCGGCCAAAACCGAACTTCCTCATAAGGAAGTTAAAAAGGCAGTTTAACATCCTTGCAGGATGATTCATTTCTCTAAACGGAAGTAAATATTTTGAAAAGAATATTAAGAAAAAAACCTGTTTCATGATAAAGTTCATTCCTTGCTTTAGAACCTTCATTTCAGCTGCTAAATAACTTTCTACAAAATATGATGTTAGCAAAAATAACATAATTTTAATAGAAGTAAAGATTCAAGGAACTGTATGCGTAATTTCAAGTAACACCTTATATTTTTTTAAAGGGAGTGTTCGCGAAAAATAAAAGGGGGTATAGGCTTACGGCGAAAAATAAGCACTTTTGATTGCTAATAATATTACTTCTATCCATTAGGTAACACTTTATTTGTTTAAGTGGTATATAAAATTCCTTACGGTTCTCATTAAACCTTTATCTGTTCGAGGGTGCCTTAGATATCATAATTATTACAGCTGAAAATTGAGTACTGGCAAACATGAGGGTACACTGGCATGGAGTGTACACTGGCATGGAGTGTACACTGGCAAACATAAGGGTACACTAAACATGAGGGTATACTGGCAAACATGAGGGTACACTGGCATGGAATGTACACTGGCAAACATGAGGGTACACGGGCATGGAGTGTACACTGTACACTGTAAGTGTAGACTGTAGCCTAAAGTTTCCCGTTGCTAAATTTTCAGCAATTATTAAAGGAATATCTACGTCATCCTTGAGCAGACAAAGGTTTAATGAGAACCGTAAGGAATTTTATATAATGAATATAATTAATGAATTGGTCAAGCCAATTACTTGAAATTACACCTACAGTCCCTGAAGAAAAATAGGTTTATCATTTTTTCAGAACCTTCTTTAACCCTTGAACTATTTCCAGGTAATAAATCATCTTGTTGGAGACCTCCTTCTGCAGTTATATTTTGAGAAACTAGATTGTAGATTGCATCATCCTGAGACCAAGTTTAATACATAGTTATAGAAGAAGTAGAACCATGAATACAAAGTTGAAACACTTCTCTGGTGCACTGGTTCAAAGTAAAGAGAAGTGGTTAAACATATTTAGTTTACGTAGTTTAACTATTTCTCAAAACTTATTAAATTTGGTTCCTGGTAATCTTGAATCCTCTCTTCATGAGTTTTAGATTCTCTTTTGCTGGAGGTTTCATCAATGATTGATTTGGTCGTGGTTAATTGCAGAGACGTTTCAGCAAGGTCAATGTTGGATTCTAAATTGGTTAAACGAGGTGTTTCACTTTCATGATTTTTATCCTTCTTTTTTCTTCGCAATCTTTTCGCTACACTTTGCTTGATATTGTCCTTAAAATCCACATTTGCTGGTTTTGATTTTGGATACTTCTCATGAGGATTGTTTGGAATATTATCAAATTCAACATTTTTTTTACTTTCATAAGTTTCTAAGACCAGATTTAATGAACATAATGAGTAGATAAAATTAAACCTTTGCTTGTCACATCAGAACTGAAAATCCTGATCGCTTAATCTGAATACCCACTGCATGGAAAATTTAAATTTTCATTTTAATCCGACCTTGTTGCATATCGCATTTCACATAAATATACGTTTGATCACAGATACGATACGATGCTATATCGATTGAACTAATATCTGATTGAACTAAAGTTAGCTGTTCACAAGCCGGCTTTTAGAATATTCAAATCAAACAACTATAAATTTAATCATGTTAATATAAAGTTGTTAAAAAACATATTTTATCACATTTGAGGGCTATAGTCCTTCTGAACGTTAGTCTTGCTAAACATTAATCCAAAACTTATGTTGTTCAATTGATCATTAGTCCAATTAATATAACACCCCAAATGAGGGAAAATTAAAAACCGGTTTTCAAAAGTTTAAGAGCGCATCTTTAATCCCTAGAAACTAATCTAAAGACAAAATTAGTCTTGAGATTAGCAAAAAGAGAGGATCTAGCATTGATCTCGATATCCATCGTTCTAAAGTTTTCAGCTCAGGCTTTTGTATTTTGGTGTTCGACATCAATTATTTTAAATATTCTAATATTCTAACAGATTGTTTTACAATTAATAAATACATTATATTTTATTTTCAAGGAATAAATGAGAGGAAGACGATATTCGAGACGGAATATTGTTTTTTTTACATTATTTATAGTATTGCACCATTTAAAATATTTAAGATGCCGGTAACAAGGCATAAAGAAATAAACGATAATCAATCAATCAATCAACCATTTAAAAACTTAATCAACAATATATTTGCTTAGCGGCAGGTGTTGAACAATTGTTTTTATCATTTTGTATTATGGTAAAAGTGTCAAAGTAATTAAAAAGTACCGCAAGGATACTTTTTTCGTTACAACGGCGTTGAAGAGAATGGCTGAACCGGCAGTTTGTGGTTCATCTACTTCTTAAATCTAGTCCCTGGTGTGGTAGTAGCAATTAATTTTTGATTAAAATCGTTGCCCTCTTTAGACTCATTTGGATCATTTTTAGTCGTTTGTTCAACTTTCGTCTGTACATGATCAGACATTTTTCTGTTCTGAGGCCGAATTTAAAGAATTTTATCCGCGGCTTAAATTTAAGACGAGGCTCAAATATGGTTGGTCCCACTTAAAATTGGATTCAATTTTTAAACCGGCCCTTAATTAAAACCGGCTTTGGGGGATTTGAGACGCGGCTCAAATTCATTAAATTCGGACATTTGAACATTTTTCTGTTCTGAGGCCGAATTTAAAGAATTTTATCCGCGGCTTAAATTTAAGACGAGGCTCATGAATATGGTTGGTCCCACTTAAAATTGCATTCAATTTTTAAACCGTCGCTTAGTTAAAACCGGTTTTGGGGGGATTTGAGACGCGGCTCAAATTCATTAAATTCGGACATTTGAAACTTTCCTTCTCGAGTTGATCTGTATTCAGTTTGTAATAATTTGAAGATTTCGATGGGAGTGATGATTCTACATTGGGTTGATTATTGATTTTCCAGGTGCTGTCCGATTGTTTCATGTTCGTTATGATCTGCTTTAGTAGACTTGGACTTAAACGAGGGTAATCTTCAATAGCAGATCCAGATAATATACTGGCATTTTCAATAGATTCGACACTTGCCCTGAAAAAAAACCAACCTCAAAGTTTAAAAAAAAAAACTGTTAGCGTTTTTTCAAGTGATCCTTTATGCAATGATGCCCAATTTACCCCTTGAAACTTTTCTCCGATCAATAATGTGGAAGATATTGTGAATCGGGCATTGCCGTCTTTCCATGGAGACTCACTCGAAATTAAACTTACAGTTCCTTTAAGCATGGCTCAATCTTGGATAAGAACTTAAATTATACTATCTACTTATTCTCAGCAGAAACAACATGAAATCAAATTTGCTGTTTGTTTTAAAATTCTGTATTTTACTTTGAGAATTCTTAGCTCTTTGTTACTGAATAATAACCTAAAAAAACCAATGATACCTGAAGGTCTTTGGCAAAAATGGAATATGGGCATCTTCTATTTGAGAACCTGAAAAAATACAAACAATGTTAATGCATGTTTCTAAAATTATGCCAAATGACTTAAGCCTGATGAAACATGATATAAAGGACCTGATGATACAATTAATAAAAAGGACCTGATGATACAATTAATAAAAAGGACCTAATGATACAATTAATAAAAAGCACCTGATGATACAATTAAGAAAAAGGAACTTTAAATGATACAATTAATAAAAAGCACCTGATGATACAATTAATAAAAAATAACTAATGATACAGTTAATGAAAAGGACCTGATGATACAATTAATAAAAAAGCACCTGATGATACAATTAAGAAAAAATAACTAATGATACAGTTAATGAAAAGGACCTGATGATACAATTAATAAAAAGGACCTGTTGATACAATTAATAAAAAGGAACTAATGATACAATCAATAAAAAGAACCTGATGATACAATTAATGAAAAGGACCTGATGATGCAATTAATAGAATAATGAACCTGGTAAAGATGTGCTGAGTTCCAATGCTGCACTGACTGATATTAAATTGTCTGTGGCTTGAAATGGTGCTGGACTGTTTTGATCAATTAATTCATTATTTAGACTTGACAAGCTTTCGTTGATTTTATATCCAGCGTCGACGCCAGATACAGTGATCATTAGACCTTCGTCTACTTCATTTACTGTATTTTCTTCTGCTGGTTCAAGAGATTTGGCCAACTATTCAATAATTGTATAATTATATTAAAAAAGAGAAAAACTATTTGATCGTTTCTGATAGTGTACCTTCGCCAAAACTTTAGGGTTGAAATCAAACTTGGAAGCCCTCACTAACTGCTGAATGTCGACTTTTTCATTTGGACCTTTTCCTCTGTGAACAGAATCAAGAACAGTGATGGTAAATAAATAAAAAAATACTACCTAAGTTGTTCAAGAACCAACTGAGTCTGCAATGTTCTACAGAAAAATAGCAATACAAATTTGAATAGCTAAAAATAGTTTTTAGGTAAATTTTCATCTATTTTGATAAAATTTAATATATTTTGATAAAATATGATATATTTTGATAACATTTAATATATACTGATAAAATTTGATATATTTTGATAACATTTGATATATTTTGATAACATTGACAATTTCAAGTGACCCTGATCTTCAATAAGTAAAATTTCCAAAATTTTTTTTTAAAAATCTTGGATATTTTGCTTCGGAATCAATTGTGAGAATTAATCACTTTTTAAAATAGAAAAAGGGCCATATTCTTCCAGATTGACCAGAGCTAGCCGGCGATTTAAAAAATTCAATAAAATACGACTCAGGTATAAGCTGTCGTTGGGCCTTATTTACGGCTTGAGCTTTCGGATTTAAGTTGCATCTATCTATAATTTTCTACAGAGTTGAGTTCATAAAACCGGTTTAATAATGTATTTGGCGGATTGTTGGAATTGGCGCATTCCGTTTTTTATGAGAATAAAACTCAACATTGAGTCGTATAAAACCAACCCAGGTAGTCGAGTCTAAGAGCACGCAGCTGTCATTCAGGTGTAGGGATGTTAACGCTTTCATTTTTTTTGAAAAACGATCATTTTCAAAAACGATTAACAACCCTATTCACGTGACACAAGCTGTCGTCAGAGTTGGGTTTTAAAGCTGGGTTTAAGGAATTAAGATCCGAGCCAAAGCTTTTAAATCGCGGGCTCAGAAAAGGTTTGAAGTGCACCGTTGTAAATCGGACATGCCAGTTTTTAATGAAGTGTCAACTAAAATTCAACGATAGTCCCTAAAATACAACCTGAAAGTAGGGTCCATGAACTGTGCATAATCAGGACCGGCAATGTATGGTCTGTCTGAAACGTATAATTTTTTGAAATTTTAAATTAGAGCGCTTGGCGCGCCATTTTTTATGAAACCAAACCTTGAGTTTTGAAATCAGGATTAAAATCATCTGTACTGGTATCTTCCTCCTTAAAATGTTCCCCTTCAGCACTGTTAGGGACCAAAGAAGGATCTAAGTATCGTTCTTGTTTAATATTAATTACTGTTTAATGCAATAACGCATATACAAAAATGTATAATAAACTAGCTGAAGTGCCCGACGTTGCCCGTGGAACTTTTTTTGCCTATGTTATTCACCGGGATACCCCTGGGTTCCCTAAAAAAATGTTAGCCCATTAGGTGCAGCCGTTTAGCCGGCTATTGGGAACATATATACGACATGCGAATGAATGTCTTGTTTTATTATTTAGATAATATTTTGCAAAACTTTTTTATTTTTATTTTTACACAGAGGTGGATTTCGTAAAAAAATATTTGGATTTTTGCTTTGCACTTTTGTTTTACAGATTTTAAAATAGAAAAAAATAGTTTTTTTANAAAATAGTTTTATGTCTTAATTGTTGGTAACTCTGTATATTTAAATGGACCTACACATTTAAAGAGGGATATGCAAGATTTATAACAGTACACAATGGAAGCCTTTATAGGTTTAATAATGTGGAACATATATTGTCTAACTTATAAAGTGTTTAATTCTAACAACTTCTTCATTGTATTTTTTTGCACTCTATTAAGTCACTTTTGCAGAAAATCCACAATTTAAAAATGATTATGTTTAAAACAAATCCAACCTCACAGCTTTCAGGGGTACACTGTTGGGAATCTGACTTTCCGCTCTATAAATGAGGCAGCCTTAAAGTTCCGTGTACAGTCCCTTTAAACCTGTATTTTCTGCTGACTGTCCCTTTATTTCTCCAGCTTTTCCCAAAACTGCTTTATCATTTAATCCTCTTCCTGATAGTTATGATTATTCCTCACAAAACAAAAACATAAAATTACAATTCTTAAAGATAGAACAATAATTTAAAAAACGGAGTGATCGGTGTCGATGCTCTTTCTTTTTGATTAGAAATTCCGAACTATCTTATTGCTGAAACCTGCCCTGATAACTGTCCTTACATTTTTAATTTAACAAACCCTCCATTGAAAAGGGGGGCAGGGCATGCATGTCATGGCATGGCATGCATGTCGGTTCCTTAAAAAAGTCTTTAAAAAAAGTTTTAAATAAACATTTATGCAATGAAGCCAAAAATAAATCTTTCAAACTCTTTTTTATGTTGAGATGAATAAAAGGGAAAAAGCTAAAAATTTAAAAACTCCGTGATGGTGATGGACCAAACCTCTGTAGACTAAAAAAGTAAATGTTAGTTCCACATTTATTAAAAATATATTTCGGTCTGGGTTGACCCTCGTCAGTTTTTGAGATTGTTTCTTCACAAAGATTAAAAACAAAATGAAAAACAAAGCTATTTACCTAAAGTTTCTCCATCAAATTCTCCTAGGGAAAAGGAGCCCCCTTGTGGTACAGCTGGGACCACAACTTGACCTTGAGGAACACCCAAATCCTCTGAAAGATACTTTTTACAGTCTTGCTCCCGTCAGTGCAATAGGGTTGTTCGCAGTTCAACGACAGTTCTATGAGTAATTTGAACAGGGTTGTTAAGAGCGTGTTCTATAAGTAGATTAAATAAAATGAAGGGTTTTAGAGCGGGCTTTCTTAGTAGAATTTGTATTTTGGTCAGATAACTGTTAAAATGGTACCGTTGTGAATCGGAGGAGCCCTTTAAATTCAAGAGGGTTGTTTCATTACCTTTATCTTATTTAGCTTGTTGATTAACCTTTAAACTCAACAGGGTTGTTTCATTACCTTTATCTTGTTTATCTTGTTGATTAACCTTTAAATTCAACAGGGTTGTTTCATTACCTTTATCTTGTTTAGGATGTTGATTAACCTTTAAACTCAAAAGGGTTGTTTCATTACCTTTAGCTTGTTTAGCTTGTTGATTAACCTGCCCAACCTTTACATCAACATGCATTAAAGATTGTTAAAGGGAGTGTTCGCGAAAAATAAAAGGTGTTGCTGTACAGGATGAATTCCACTGTTTAGTGAGCTTCAACGCCGATGGAAGAGATTGTTTTCCCCATTCAAAATACACTTAATACCCCAATGTGTTTTTCAGTTTAGAATCTCTAGTAATTTTATGCAAAAGTAAAAAAATTCCACTTTAAGGATTTTCCTTTTCGGGAAAACTTCTATCGTTGTTTACAATCTCTGTTATTTTCATTTTAAAATCAGTTCTAATATAATGTTGCACAGTAAAATATGTTTCCACAAACCCATATTTAAATCCAAATTTCTCTTGGATGGGGGGGGGGAGGTAATGAACATATTTATGGCATATCCCTGAAGAATCGAGGCACCATCTTCCGGGTTTAAATTGTTCATCTAATTTATCGGAAATTCTTCAAAACATAAGTTTTAAGAAATATGAAATATGTGCAAAGTGCCCTGTAAGGAAAACCCAATCCTCAAAAACGTCCTAGTTTTATTGCAAACAAAATATTTAAAATATTAAAAAATTTGCACTTGTAATTCACCAGCCCAGTGCTTTTGAAATTTTTAAGAAAAACTCAAGCAACTGGGATATTTAAAATAAAGGTTGATGAAGAAAAGAAAGCTAATTCTAAGCACTGCAAAAAAGGAAGTACAAATCATAATTTTTCAAAAATAATGAATCTTCTTGAGATAAATCCCTTGACCACATTATTTGATTCCTCTACGCGGTCTGCCTAAACAAAAAAAAATCGATTTTAAGAACTTAATATTTTTATAAAAAACCCTGGCTAAATTAAAATGTAAAAATTGTGAAACTTAAATTTATTTAATTAAATATTTAGTCAAATATATATCTATCTATCTATCTATTTACTTGTAGGTCGTCATTATATCCAAATGATTTTAAGCTATTTAGTCCCGCCAGATTAACTTCATCAACAATCTAAATATAAATATGTTCATTGTGTCTTATCATTCCAAAAATTATGCTTGATGTACCCCACCCAGGGATGGTTTTTTGATCCATATGGATTCGAAAAAATAACAAAAGGGTGAAAGTGTCACTAATTCACCGAAATTTTTTTTTTCAACTGTGAAAATGTTTGAGTTTCAATGTAGAAAAACAACATGCTGAAAGGTAAAGTAACCAAAACCATTTTGAAAAAGAAAGTATAGCTAAGTAATCCATATCTATTCTTTTCTTATTTTGTTTAAATTATTAGGTCAGGGGGTTAATAAATTGTTAAAATATTTTTATGACAGAGCTGATAACTTTAGAATGAGATATCCTTAATCCCGATTACTTAATCTGAGTATCCAATGGAAACACTTTTGATTTTCTTCTTAAACCGTTCTTTCTTGGATATAGTATAAAAATCAAAAACCGGTTTTTCTAAGTTAGAGAGTTCCTCCCATTTCTGTATATGATCTTAAATGACGCGCAAAATTTCAAATTTATCGACTTCTTAACGCGACTCTGATTGGTTGAATTTTATACACTTTTCAGGATACAAGTACAAGATTAGATTAGTCTCGATATTAAGAAATAGAGAGGATCAAGCATTAATCTCGATATCCACCATTCTAAAGTTTTCAGCTCAGGACATTACGCGTGCCTAAATAGTAATGTTTAGTGTGAACTATTGTTAGGCACTAGCACAATATTTGATCCGTTTTTTAAACTGTAGTTAATTTACTTTCCAGAGGTTCCAGAGACAAAATTTCGCATAATAATGGGGTAAAACAAAATATTGTAAAATTGTGGGAATAATTAACTCTTTTTATTGATCTAAATGTTTCCGTGGTAGGTTTGAATATATTTACCCTAGCTTCTAGAAGTCGGTCAGCTTCTGGTAAATTCACTCTGCCCTAGAATATTAAAGGGACTGTAACCTTTACCTCAGATGAACATAAATTTCAAAGTACCCTTTAAACCTTTAATGGTTTCTTTGTTAAACTGACGTGTAAACGTATGCACCAGAAACACAGAAGGAAATCGTCCTAATTCAACACTTTTCAAAGTTTTAAAAAGTAGCGTTGTGAGCAACTCTTAAACTACGTGGACAGTCCCTTAGGTCAGTTGATCGTTTTATTAGCCATTCAAAATCTTATATTTTTTATCAAATTGCATAATTTGTTTTTGTAATGTGTAGATAACATTACTAAATGTGTAGATATAACTGTAGTGCTAATTTGGTAAGTTGTTGTAAAGTAAATACATATCAATGCAAAAATTGAAAAAGTCATCAAATTTTATTTTTGATTCCATTCAATCACACAAATTGTAAACGTTGAATGTAGTTTTCTTTTAAAAGAGGTTTAAAATAACTGGAAATTTTTCCCATTGATATTTGATCTACCAAAATTCATATTTGAAATATCAAAGGTCTACAACATCAGCATTCAAAGATAAAATGGTTAGAAAATTTGAGATTGTGATAAACCTGCTCAGCTTCTGCTGCATGTTCTTGTTGTTGTCTGTCAGATTCTGGATCAATGGCTGGTCCGCCACCTTGCTTTTCTACATCCAGAGAAATTTCCTCATTTCTATTATCTAGAGGAAGATCTTGGTGATGATATTCTTTTAGTTGATCATCTTGAGAAAGATCTTGGCCTTGATGTTCTTTTTGTTGAACATCTTGGAGAAGATCTTGGGGATGATATTCTGTAGGTTGATTATCTTTGGGATGATCTTGGCTATTTTGTTCCTTTGGATGATCATTTTTTGGAAGATCTTGGCGTTGATATTCTTTTAGTTTATCATCTTGGCGATGATGTTCTAGTTGATTATATTTGGGATGATCTTGATGGTGATATGTTTTAGGTTGATCATTTTGAGGAAGATCTTGCTGATGATATTCTTTCAGTTGATTATCTTTGGGATGATCTTGGTGTTGATATTCCTTCAGATGATTATCTTGTGGAAAATCTTGGCGATGATATTCTTTTGGTTGATTATCTTGTGGAAGATCTTGGCGATAATATTCTTTTAATTGATCATCTTGTAGAAGATCTTGGCGTTCTTCTTCAAGTCTTTCAGCTTTTGGCATAGCGTAAAGCAGAGTCTCTTCAAGCCTTTCCGAATCCGGTAAATCATCCAGCGATAAAAAGTATTCTGATAACAGTTTTAAATTTTATTTTATTTTAGAGGAAAGAAGAAAATAGAAACTTTTTGCCACAAATTGTGATTTTCTAATCCCTGTATCTTTGCATTTAATATCGTAGACCTTAGATGTTTTTAAACTATGAATTCCTTAGAGATTAAATAAATTAAGGGTTTCAAAGACTCAGTTTCAATATCAAAAACAGGAATGGCTAAACCCTGGCTCCAGACTATGCCTTGGTCAAATAATTCTGTTAAGAAAATCTTAAAAGTATTTCTCAAGGCAAAATTAAGAATTATCTTAATTTTAATATGCATGAAAACAAATTTAAAAAAAACTTTCCTTGAGGGAAGAATTTCAACCTGTTCTGCCAAACATCTGAGTCAAGTTTAGAATTAGAATTAGAAATCTGAAAGAATTTTGTAATTTGCAATTAAACTACTTTTAAAATGTGCCTTGATTGAACCTATACAATATACACATCTATAGGGATGGATCGTTTTCAGTTTTTTTTTCATTTTTTTTTGAAAAACCAGCGTTTTTAGAACAACAAACAAAAAACAAAAAACTAAACGGTCGTTTTAAAAACAATTGCTTTTGAAAAAGATTTTTAACAATTTATTTTTAAATGAAATTTTTTTTAACAAAATTTAAAAAGAGCAGTGAATTTTTTTCTCTGACTGTTTGATCATACATCTGTTTTCTGTCATTTAGATCTATGAATTCTAATATCATGGATACAAGGGAAAAATTAATTTTAACACATATTACTGATTTTCTTTCTACCTATTATTACGCATGTTTCTATTTGTTTTCCATGCAGAGGTGTCAAATTTCTCTGACACGTTATATTAAGGAATGCTGTTGCAGCTGCTTTTTCATCCAGCTATATCTTAACGATATTTCTTATAGGTCAAAGAACGAAGAACGACCACATTCATTCCTTATTCTTTAGGTTCCCACTGTATATACATTAAATTTGATACCTTCGGGATTTCTATGAAGAATGTCCAACTTGAAACCTGTACTTTAAGTTTACGCCTCTAATTAAACAAAAAGGTAAAAATAATTATAATGAACCATGAAATATTCTGAAAAATCTTCAGGATACAAATTGAGGAAAAATCTAAAATGCCAATTATGAATTAATACTGTTTCTTGTTAAACAACCCTTGATTTTTGCTTTATTACAGGAACTAGAATATTTTTGATCAAATTGACTTGAAATCTATTGTTACTTGCTCGTGACTCGTGAGCCTTGGTTTGAGAGAAAAATACTAAAAAGGCAGATTTTTATTCATGTATTTAATTTCAAAATATATAACGTTAAAAATAATTCTAATTTCCTAAATGTGATTTTCCACCATCAGATCTCTGTAATTGATATAAAAAGATAAAATATTATTTGTTTCAACCAATAACGTTTGATATTGGAATACATTTTGTACAAATACTTGAACACAATTATTTTTTTTACATAGGTCATTCCCGCCACGCCCCCCCCCCTCTCCCGTCTCCCGCCCTTCTCTCACAGACCTATTAACAATATCTATAGTATAGTAAAGTAGTACTCTCTTTCTGTCTGTCTGTTTGGATGTTTAATAATATCTCATGATTAAGAAAACCTTGGACCGATTTGCCTCAAATTTCTATTAGAGAACTCATTAAAACCACGGGAATGGTTTGACAATTCTAATTTGAGTGGGCTCACTTTTAAAAGCTTGGTTTCCAAACTAGTTATATAAATGAAACACTATCTAATATTGGAATTATATACATAAAAAAATTTAAACCTTCTGATTGATTCTAACTTACATTAAAGGAACTACAAATTAGGGTTTCCAATGCGCAATTGCGCAATAATAGCGCAAAACCTGCTCTGTAGTCGGGTAATTTATCTCTACAAATTAGGGTTTACAATGCGCAATTGCGCAATAATAGCGCAAAACCTGCTCTGTAGCTGGATAATTTATCTCTACAAATTAGGGATTTCAATGCGCAATTGCGCAAGAATTGTGCAATAATTGCGAAAAAACCTGCGCTGTAGCTGGCAAACTTATCTGTACAACTTTGAAATTAATCGGGTTGTGTGCATAGAGAATAGAATATATATTAGAGTGGAATTTAAAGAATCTCTCGGTATGAATTTTTTCAGTCCCTTTCAGAATGATATCTTCTACATTATTGATAAAGATAAAGATTTAGAGTTTACCTTTGTGAATCAAACATGCCCCTCATTAGAGATTACAACGACAATCCTTTTTAAGGAAGAAGTAAGAATCCCTTGTAAACCCTGCACAAACCTGTGTGTTTTGTACTGCAAGGTTTAGATTCACTTGAATAAATACAACAATGAATGTATTCATCTTGTCTCGAGTTTACTATTTCAAGCACTATATAACAATCAATTCCTCTATTTGTTACGATAAACCTGTTTCAAGGGATATTGTAAAATCAAACATTCGTAATGACCCAATTCCTTTTTTTAAGAAATGGTCACTCAAATTATAGAAGAATATATGTAGAATAATAATTACATTATCATTATATTAACATATTTTTTTCATCCGTTTCAAGCTGTTCGAATTATATGTAAATATTGGATCTGTAGCCACAGTGAAAAATAAGATAAATTTATGTATTCTTTTTCATATTTTGACCGTTCTCCATTCTACCCTATACATAAAAAATTGAAAATTTGAAGAAAAAAATCACAGGGGGGGGCACAGTGGGCATTTTAGGGGGTCAGGGGGTACTAGTTTTTGTCTCAATACTCCACTTAAAATGCATTTATCTTTTCATGTTTCATGGTGAGAATGGACAAAATGAAAATATTCTGATAATCTTTTCATTTACAAACATTGTATAAATTGTAGCTTGCGTTGATTTATAATGATTTCAATTTATAAGTACTTTTCCCTTGTCCTGTAAACCCGCAATATATTTATAATGTCGTCTTTGTGTTGGCGAACTATTTCGGGAAAAAAACATATGTTTATAGCCTTTTTACACAAAATTAAAACCGGTATAGGGTTAATTAGTAAATGAAATAATTTCCTGTGGAGCTTTTTTAGCTTTGCCTTTGCATATCTAAATTAAACTGTTACAATGTAAAGATCATTTTTAATTTACGTTAAATGATTAAATTGTCCTCTTCCTCCATCTGCTTACTTCCACTGAAATCTAAGAAGTTAAAATTTAAGCGACCTTGCTGGTACGACCTTGTGACCTCGTAGCTCCTCTAGTTTTGATATGAAAACAGAGGCAAATGAATTGAGTTTTAGCCAAAAATTCAATTGTTCTAATCCCTATATCTTTTCAACCCGATGATGTAAACCTGTGATATTTCAAACTTCAACTATTTGATCAAACAGTATTCATAGTTTGAAATATCTAAGATCTGCGACATCGGGTCACAAATATATAGGGGTTATAAAATCAGATTTTGTGGCAAAACTCAATTCCTTTTTTCGGTTAAAAATTAAAATATTTTTCATTCTCCCAAAACTTATGAACAAGAAAAGTTATGATTAAAAACATTTTATTCCCTTTTGCTATTTATTTTCTATAGTTAGACGTTGCTCAACAAATTACGCAACCAAAGTCACAGCACACTAATGTAGACATTAGAAAAAGATGAAATTAATGCCTTTTTACTTGTACTACTTTGTTACTTCGTAGCTTCTCTAGTTTTGATTATATGCACAATTGTGAAGAAAATTGATTTGGAACTAAAGAAACTTAAAACTGTTTTTAAATGCGCATATAGCATGTAAATATAATGTAAATATAATGTAAATATAATGTAAAGTTTACGTTAATTTGACGTGAAAGCAATCTGCACCTCTATAACAAATGAATTGAGTATTTGCCACAAACTCTGATTTTTTAATCCCTATATCTTTGCATTACAATGTCGGAAACCGTAGATATTTCAAACTATAAATCCTGTTAGATCATAGAGTCTAAGTTTAAAATATCAAAAGTTCACACCATCAGGTTGCAAACGAAATTAGAAAATTTTGGTTTTTTGGCAAACATTCAATTCCTTTTTTTGTCTCTGAACCTGGATCGCCTTTGTAATATTGATTGGCTCTATTATTGGTGATACTAACCCTTTTGTCTTCTTGATTATAGAGATATTCTAGATACAAAATTATTCCTTTCACTTTAGCTTTAAAAATAATTCAACAAAATTTGATAAAAAGTTATTTTGTCTTAATTGTGCGTTGTGGTGAAGTTTGGAATAAAAATTGATTATTTTTGTTTGATGAAAATCTAATAAATTTGATAATGTTTGTTATGGAAACAATTTCATTAATCACTAAGCAGTCAGAAATATTGCATTGTTTGTATTTCTTCTATTATCTATCTATCTATCACATATATGCAGGGAAATATTCTATTGTTTGTATTTCTTCTATTATCCATCTATCTATCATATACAATACATGCACGGAAATATTGTATTGTTTGTATTTCTTCTATTATCTATCTATCTATCATATATATGCAGGGAAATATGCCTTCTGATTGGTGGATATAAATATCTATATAATTATCTAACTATTAGTCTTTCTGTCTATATATCTATCTAACAGTTTGTCTAGTGTCTGGTTATCCATCTATCTTTTGATCTGTCTTTCTACGTATCTATCTAGCTAACTTTCTATCAATCTTTCTATATATCTATCTATCTAACTTTCTATCTATTTTTCTATCTATATATCTATAGATTGATCAATCGATCAATCTGTTTTTCTATGTATCTATCTATCGTTCTATGTTTCTATCCATCTATGTTTATATCTATCCATATTTCCATCTATCTATCTAACTATGTATGTATCCATCTATATATCTATCTTTCTATCGAACTATCTATCTATCTATGTTTAAGAAGTCAGTATGTATAAGCAGGTCAACTGCTCTAAATATACCTCTATACATGACTCTGCCCGGAAATACAGTTTGTCCACACACCGGGACATTAAATGTTGAGAAACTACGCAAGATAATATTTTTCTCGATTACATCCTTTAAACAGTGTCCCTGCTTTATGTGAAGAGACAATAACGTGATAAAACTAAATAATGGAATTAGTTTTGTGATTAGTGACATCAAAATAATTTTTTATGTTAAGGTTTATACCTTCATCTATTAATTGTATTTTTTTCAGTGATTTTTATTGTAACTTTATGGACGATCAAATTCAGTTTATGTGTAAAAATAGTCATTAAAATCTCTAGAATTTCAGAAAAAATGTTGCCTCTTAAAAGATCTGCCAGCTTCAAAATTAGGAAACGTAATATTTAATATCTCATTAAGAACTATCATTGTTAAAACAAAAATCACAAATTTTATTTATTTATTGATTCATTGATTCAAAGTTAAAAAGAAAAAGATTTAAACTTTAAAATTAAAACGCAGAACAAATATTTTGATATTATATATTATAATATCATCATCTGTGCTAAGATAACTAAAGATGAACACAAATAAAAGAATAAATTTTACAAAATCCACAAAATATATAATGTTATTCATTCAAGGTGTATTTGATATTGCTTTAACTTCTTTATAGCAGAATACAGCTAGAAGTACATACAAGAACTAGCCATGCGCGTTTCCTAAGTGAAATAAAAATGCAAGCTAAAAAAGTCGAATAATCTTGTATTATTTTTTTTTAAAAATCTGTTTATACCATCTTTATAAAATAAGATATGTACCGTGGTTAGAACTTAAACGTTTGATCTTGATATCCGATGTGAGAACTTTTAAATTTGAGGATCAACACTTAAATCCTCAATACAATTTAACCCAGCAGTGTATGACCATCATGTGATATCAAAGACGAATTAAATTAATCCGTAAATCTGAATCAGACCAATGCTTGATCTCAAGATTTGACTTCTGGTTCTGCTGTTCGAAAATTAAGACAATTTTTGTTTTGAGCAAAGTTTACATGTTTCTGGAATATAATTTTCAAATTTTTTTTTTAATATTTAAAATACTGCATCAAATAGAAAATACGGGTGCATAATTTTACATATATTTATGTACACTCCAACAAATTAAAATTAAATATTTGCAGGAAATATTTATTTGGCGGATTTATTTGATCGATGTCGTGAAATTTTCCTCGTTCAATATTTTCTGCTTGACCTTAATTTCATTTTTAATGATCAAATGCATAGATTTGCAATCAGAGATAAAAAGTTTTAATGACCTTATTACATCGTAAAATACAGGATGAGTAAAAAACAGACCTACATCTTATAACTTGCCATTTTAGTACTTACATACTTTTAAGAACAAGTTTACGGCAAGTTTTAATTCTCAATCTTTTTTTCTGAGCTTGGAACTTTTGTGATGTTTACCCGCTTAATCTTCATATCCATTTTACGGAGAATCTGCTGTCTCTGTTCTCTCATTTGTTGAACGCTATATTCCTTGATTTCTGATTGACTGTTCACATTTTCTGCCCATAACGGGATATGGCATAAAGATTAGATTGATCCATGTGGATCAAGCATTTATCTCGATATCATTTTCCACATTACAACTGATGAGTGCCCCCTGAAGACCTGGAAAAGATTTCTGGATGATTGTTTTGGAATCTGGACAGATTCTATTGAGAAATTATATCAATTCCTGGATGATGTCAATAAAATTCATCCTACAATTACTAGTTAATCTATATAATAGGAATATCTTTAAAACATCTCTGTACATTTATATCTTTTAAGATGAAAAATGTCGTCTTATGCGCAATCTATCTTTATCTATGTTATCCACATTACGATAGTTCCTACCTCTGTTTAATTACACATTCTAAAGCATTGAATTATTAAATAAGCAATTAATATGGATAACATTATAATAATTCCATTCCATTTAAAGCATAATAATAATCAATTAACAAAAACAAAAACTGCTACATCTCTGGACTAAACTTAGTATTGAGAATACAAAATTTCTAAGATTTAATTGCGGAGCCTTTAAAAACCTGAATATAAAAAACGATGATAAACTTTAAGTAAAAGATATAAAGTAAAATTGAAATTAAAATTTACCAATAATGCATTTCACTGAATTTATTATGTTTATCTGTAGTGTTGACAATGTCAAAATTGAACCAGTTATCAAATATCAAAATGGTCTGAATAATTTTCAAGAAACAGATGAAACAGAGAAAATCACACAAAACGGCGACTTTCACATTCAAAATGGCGGCCATCAGATCCAAAATGACGACCATCAGATTCAAAATGGCGACCATCAGATCCAAAATGGCGACTATCAGATCCAAAATGGCGACCATCAGATTCAAAATGATGCAAATCTAACAGAGGAAATAAATGATGACGCTCCTCTTAATATACTAGCCGGGGCAGATTGGGAGAGCTTAAACTATTCTGTATTAAATGTAATTATAATTTTATTTTTTATAAATGAGGATTTATAAATTTCAAAATTTGTTTTGTTTAAAGATTGAAGCAGGGGAAGAAGTGACGGGACTAGCAATTAGTGAAGAGTATATAGCTGCACAGTTCTTCTTGGAACCTGAAATACATGTGTTTTCAAGGTTGGTATACAGATGGTATCTACAAAGTATGAGACTTCAATCATAAGTTAGAAACCCCTAGACCAATTTGCTTCAAATTTTGATAAAAACGACGGAAATGTTCGAAACTTTTTTCTAAGTTTTTAGTTAAGTAAATTGACTTTTATCGGGTAAACTTAGCTTCCAGGTAAAGCTGGGTTCCCAATTTCTACTTTTAGAATATTTCTATTTGAAATTCTTTAGAAAAGATCTGAATTTACTTCATCGATTGAGTGGACATGACTATGGGGGTCAAGCAGTACAAATCCTGGATAACATTTTGTACTCTGGATCCAAGGTATTCTAATCAGGTCACTTTTTCTTCTAAACTTTTTTGAATTTTTAAACTTTTCATTTTTTGTGTTTTTGAAGGATTGCACTGTAAGAAGTTGGAATCTCGGAACAGGGAAAGAAATAGAAGCAGTTAATGATCACAGGGATTATGTCCAGGTACAGATAAGACGACATTCATATTTATAAGCGTTGCTACATTTCATTTAAACGATTTATATTGATAATTGAACACTGGAACACTCAGATACAGTTTAACCCAGAACTTTAAAGACATCAAAAGAATTTAACAAATGTCGTTTTCTAAACCAATGGAATGCTGAAAATATTTTTTATTTTTTTAATTGAATTATTGTATGGAGCTCTTTAAAACTGATCCCGTATATTTCATAACCCTATATTTATTTTTACAATTACTGAGATTTGGGTACAGGGTGTGCCAATAAAGATGGTGATTGAGAAACGACTTGAAAGTCGGCTTTGATTTCTGATATTTACGGCATGGGAAAGAAAGTATAAAAAACTGTATACTTCTTATAAGCTTTTTATAAGCTTTTCATTAGATATTTATTAAGACAATTTTGAATTATTATATAAATTGATATTTGTACAAATTTTGCAATATCTCCGTCCATTTTGAAGATGCAAAATAGTAGACCACATTTTGAAAATCTCAAGACCCGGTGATTTTGATATTAGATTGCACAAATTTTGTTCACGAAAAAAATGCCGCATTGATCGAAAACGATTTAAAAGGCGTTACTATAGACCAATGTTAATTTGGACATCCTGTAAAATAGTATAAAACCTATTGAAAACTTGTCAAGACGACATTTTATGCATTTTTTTCGTGGATCCTAAGTTCTGAACTTGTCGAGATGTTAGCTTTAAAATTTAATATCGCAAAAAATCTCCAAAACGAGTGAGTTTTGACAATGTGGAAAAGTGCTATTTCACATTGACATAAAGTTCACAATACTCTAAGAAATGTCAAATTTTTATCTACAGTCGTCGTCGTATATATTAATACAATGAAGAAAACTTTCAATTTCAATTTTTAATTATTCTGCCAAGCTTTCAAATAGCATAATAAACATGGAAACAAAGATATAAACTTGTCATTTAAAAAACCTTGTTGGAAATCAAAACTCAAAAAGTCGTTTTTGTAGCATTTATATGAACTCCGGCCAAAGCAAGAAATTTTTTTAATTGAGCACAGAAACCAAATCCAATTGCAATAAAATTTAACATTTCTTAGATTAAGTCTCCTATCTTCTTTTTGGAATTATAAATATTTATTATTTTTGTGAAGTGTTTATGCGTGAAAAAGCTCCGAATGGATGGATTGGGCGAGGACGGAGAAATAACTGCTCTTGTCTCAGGAGGAGCGGCTGATCATAGGATAGTTCTGTACAGTACAGATAATACAGGTATATAGCTGATAATAGGACAGTTCTGTACAGAACAGATAATACTGGTATATAGCTGATAATAGGACAGTTCTGTACAGTACAGATAATACAGGTATATAGCTGATAATAGGATAGTTCTGTACAGTACAGATAATACAGGTATAGCTGATCATAAGATAAGTTCTGTACATTATAGATCATACAGGTATAGCTGATCATAAGATAAATTCTGTACATTATAGATCATACAGGTATAGCTGATCATAAGATAGTCCTGTACAGTATAGATAATAAAGGTATATAGCTGATTATAGGATAGTTCTGTACATTATAGATAATACAGATATAGCTGAACATAAGATAGTTCTGTACATTATAGATAATACAGATATAGCTGATCATAAGATAGTTCTGTACAGTAAAGATAAAAATGTATATAGCTGATTATAGGATAATTCTGTACAGTATATAGCCGATTATAGGATAATTCTGTACATTATAGATAATACAGGTATAGCTGATCATAAGATAGTTCTGTACAGTAAAGATAATAAAGGTATATAGCTGATAATAGGATAGTTCTGTACAGTACAGATAATACAAGTATAGCTGATCATAAGATAGTTCTGTACAATACAGGTATAGCTGATAATAGGATAGTTCTGTACAGTACAGATCATACAGGTATAGCTGATCATAAGATAAGTTCTGTACATTATAACATTATAGATCATACAAGTATAGTTGACTATAGGATAATTCTGTACAGTATAGATAATAAAGGTATATAGCAGATAATAGGACAGTTCTGTACAGTACAGATAATACAAGTATAGCTGATCATAGGATAGTTCTGTACAGTACAGATAATACAGATGATAAATTCAGCTACAGGGTGTTCCCATAAACATAAGAAATAATAGACGACTTGAGATAAGGGGTCCATATAATTCCATTTCTGATCCCAAATGGTTTGAGGTTTAAAGTACAATGAGGGGCATGAAAATAAACTTGCTGTGTTATTTTTTGTACGAGAAGTACACTTCAGAAATGTGTACTGCATTTGGGGTGTTAAAAGATGTAAATATCAGTAATAAATGTACGAGATAAAGTATGATATACAGAAAAATAAACACTCCCTTGCACTTTGCACTGTACACCCTTCAGTATGGAATATTTTCTACAACTTGACATACTATTTACAATTGTTTTCAATAACAACATGGTTAATTTCTGCCCCTAATATCAATCAATCAATCAATCAACAATTTTTTCTTTTTATCAAACAAATCAAACTATCGAAGCTATAAATGGATGTTATTACTTAATTCACATGTTTTATGGTACACCCTGTCTATTTTAAAAAATTCAAATTTACTTCTCAATTATCAGGTCGATTAAAAAAGAGGCATCAGCTTGACGGTCACAGTGGTTGGATAACATGCTTGGAGATGACCGATACCATGGTGATCTCAGGAAGCAAGGATTGTACAGTGAAACTATGGGATCTTGCATCAGGAGATATTCTTCAATCCCTGACTCAAGATTCAGATATTACTTGTATATCTACATTCTCTCTTACACAGGTAAAACACTAAATATTTTTTTTATCGATGGTAATTGTTTTTCAAAGTTTCCAGGTTTCCAGGTTTACAGGTTTACAGGCTTCCAAGTTTTCTAGGTTTACAGACTTCCAGGTATCAAGGTATCAAGGTATCCAGGTATCCAGGTATCCAGTTATCCAGAGATATGTAATGTTTAGGGATATAATGTTCAGGGATATCTAATGTTGAGGGATATCTAATGTTTGGGAATATCTAATGCTTAGGGATATATAATGTTTAGGGATATCTAATGTTTAGGGATATCTAATGTTTAGGGATATCTAATGTTTAGGGATATCTAATATTTAGGAATATCTAATTTTTAAGGATATCTATTGTTTAGGGATATCTAATGTTTAGGAATATCTAATGTTCAGGGATATCTAATATTTAGGAATATCTAATGTTTAGGGATATCTAATGTTTAGGGATATCTAATGTTCAGGGATATCTAATATTTAGGGATATCTAATGTTTAGGGGTATCTAATGTTTAGGGATATCTAATGTTTACGGGTATCTAATGTTTAGGGGTATATAATGTTTATGGATATCTAATGTTTAGGGATATCTAATGTTTAGGGGTATCTAATGTTTAGGGATATAATGTTCAGGGATATCTAATGTTCAGGGATATCTAATGTTCAGGGGTATCTATTGTTTAGGGATATCTAATGTTTAGGGGTATCTAATGTTTAGGGATATCTAATATTTAGGAATATCTAATTTTTAGGGATATCTATTGTTTAGGGATATCTAATGTTTAGGAATATCGAATGTTTAGGGATATCTAATGTTTAGGGNAACCAAACACCTTGGTAGGGACAGGAAGGTAAACCAAACACCTTGGTAGGGACAGGAAGGTAAACCAAACACCTTGGTAGGTACAGAAAGGTAAACCAAACACCTTGGTAGGGACAGGAAGGTAAACCAAACACCTTGGTAGGGACAGTAAGGTAAACCAAACACCTTGGTAGGGACGGAAAGGTAAACCAAACACCTTGGTAGGGACAGGACAGTAAATCAAACACCTTGGTAGGGACAGGAAGGTAAACCAAACACCTTGGTAGGGACGGGAGGGTAAACCAAACATCTTGGTAGGGACGGGAAGGTAAACCCTTATTAAGCCACTGTTTGAACGTTCAAGCTCAATTTAAAAAGGAACATGTCCAGGTTAAAGCGATGTCGTCTTAAAACCTTTAAATGGAGAGTCTTTTGAACTTACGTCTACACTGTACCTTAAAGAGTTCTTCAGAAAATCGTTATGATGGTTCTTAATTCAATAACAAAAGTTTGACACTTTCTCTTTACAATTGAGTCCTCAATTAAAAAATAACTGATTCAGGAATCACAAATTTTTTGATTTTAATATTTAAGTTTAAAAAAGAATTGTATTTTATTGTGCCATCGTGCGGTTACATGTTGAAAAACAAAATTGTGATTTTTCTGATTTTCTAATTTTTTTAGGTATCGTCGATCCAGTAGATATCACGATAAGACGGTGGATCATTTTACTCTTTGTGATAATGGATATATGGTCACTGCCAGCCTTGGCAGTAAATTTATTAAAATTTGGAAGGTAGGAATCAAAATTTAAATATAATGGATTCAAATCTGTTATGCCTCAAAATTCAAAGAACTCAAAATTACGAAGTAATTTTAAAAGTCAGTTTTAAAAATGATTTGGAACGCAGAACTTACATTCTTAAAGAAGAAGTTCAAATTTGAATGGTAGGACATAAAATTTTGTACTTAAAGCTCGGGCTCAAAATTTGTTAGCTATAACTTAAATTTGGAAGGTGGGACTTCAAATTCAGAGGAAATACTTGGAGCTTAAAATTTTGGAAATTTGAATGACTCCAAAATTGGAAGGCTGCGCGCATACAACTTGAGAGGAAAACCTTAAATTTTGGAAGGTAGAATTTAACCCTCGGAAAATAAGAATGAAGAAGATACATATATATACTAGGCTTTTAAGGCGCTTCACACCCATCTTCTTTTTCAACTGTTACCATGTTCTCAATTGTAAATCAAAAACAAACAAAAAATTTCGTGGATTTTTTTTTAATTTTCAAAAATCGAATTCTGTTAAAAGCAAATTTTAAAAATTTGATCATCATAAACCTTCTCTGGGTTCACGCAAGGTCCCAAATAAAATTTGGGCCAAATGGGTTCAGCCGTTTTTACGTATATTGGATACAAACAAAGAAACAGACACCCAAGCAAAGTATATATAGATATAAATATGTACATAGTAAAAAGATGAGCTTAATATTTAGATTGAGAAATATGAAGATTGTATTCTGAAAACTGATGTTACAGAACTGCAGATTCTGAGAGAACACTCAGATTATCTAAGTGTTGTCAGGGAGCTTAAATTCTTACCTAACCCCCCCCCTCCCCCCTTTCCTTTAACTACAAGATTTTTATTTCCAAATTATTAATAAATCAAAAGTCAGATTTTTTTGTCTTCAAAGAAACTAAGCTTGTTTGTTTTTCATAAAAGTAGACGAATTAGTACATGTGTACTCTTATCTTTTGTAAATACAAGTGTTAACAGTTTACTGAATTTATCTTGATCTAGAGTGCTGGGTAATACAATTATTAGCTGTAGTGGCGATGGCAAGATCTTTCTACATACGTAAGCATTAAACAATTGCAGGGGGGGGGGAATACAATTTCGAAAATACTGACATTTGATACCTTTTGTGTTACTTTTAAAAATGTCTTTTATTTCTTCTCTAAGAAATCAAGGAAATTTTTTTTTAAGTGTACGAAATGGATTGATTGGGTCTGCTATCATTTATGTAAATAACAAAGTACAATAAATTCTTCACTGATAAAAAAAAAACATTTTTGTGTTATTAAACTTTAAGAAAACATTTTGAAATAAGGGAATTAGGGAAAATTAATTTCTTAGTTTTTAACAAAATATATCGTAAGTAAGGCTTTTGNTAAAGGGAGTGACCGGCAATGTATGGTACTTAAACTGACCGATTCTCCAAATCATCCCTCCAAAATTGTCAATCTATAAGGATTTTGAATATTGAATTTGCGCTCTTGCTAAAAAAATACAGGGTGTCCCACGAAGCATGACAGTTGGTGAATAGTTTTGAATGTCTTTTTTCTACATACTGTATTAGATAATAAAGACTTTTGGCAGTTTATTTCTTTAAAAAAATGTTTAACTCATATATATTTTACTGTGAAATCAATTTTACAATAATATAACTGTCATATAAAAAATGTTATTAGTCTCTTTAGTATCAAACAACTTATCAAATTATGGAAGAAGACATTCACCAACTGGCATGCTTCGCGGGACACCCTGTATGTACCTAAATACTAAAAAATTACAGTGCTACATTCTCAGTTCAAATACCGCACATTGCCGGTCACTCCCTTTAAGAAAAAATACAGTGAGACTCGTAAAACCTTGAAATAGGAAGACGACAGTATAAAGCTCAAGTTATGATTACACGACATAGGTTGAGTGAAAGCTATTGGAAAATATATCAACATCAATATACCCATGTAAGATTGTTAAATGACGTCTTTCTAATCCAATGTTTTATGAGTCACACTGTAATATTATTTTTAAATTGATGTCTAGGGAGAGAATGGTTTGGCTCCTTCTGTTGACCGGCCAACTATAGTTTGTCAAGGTCGACTGTGTAAAGCAGGAAAAACAGGACTTGCAAGATCTTCTTCAAGTTTCCAGGTTTTTACTCAATTCTATTTATTTTTCCAGGTTTTTACTTAATTCTATTCATTTTTCTAGGTTTATACTCAATTCTATTTATTTTTCAAGGTTTTTACTTAATCCTATTTATTTTTTCCAGGTTTTCCATCAATTTTATTTATTTTTTACTCAATTCTATTTTTTCAAGGTTATTCAAGGTTATTTCTCAACTCTACTTTTTTGTTACTAAATTCTATTCATTTTTACTTTTTAGAAATTTTTTTTTTAAGGTCAGCTTCTCTCTGAGACAAACAACAGCAAGTGCAGAAGGTAAATAAAGTTCTATTTTGGATGTTGCCATCCAGACCTCTTTAAAGGGGTGAGTAGCAGATCTTGAGGTTCGGAGAAGAATCCCAAGGTCTGGAGTAAGGTTTCCAGCGAAAAGCGGAAATAGTTTTGCGGAAAAATTCACATTTTTTGCATTTCGTTCGCACGCGAAAAATGCGCAAATTTTCTCTTTTTCTCTTTCTCTTTTTTCGTTGTAATCTGTTTGGCGAAAAACGGAACATTTTTGCAAAATAAGAAATGCGAAAATTTTGCAAAAACAATTCTGCTTATCAAAGTTCTCTTCAGCAAACATTTAACAATGTAAAGGAAGAGAAATTATTAATTATGATAAAATAACAATTCTATATTCCACATTTTTTTTGCGAAATTATTATTCGCTGGAAACCCTAGTCTGGATGAAATTTCAAACGAAAAAAAAATATGATTTTAAAGCTTTAAATTTAAACCCTTTGATTTTACTTCAGACCCTAGAAATTAACTCCAAATATTACCTTTCCCTCCTCCCAGAGAAAAATTTGGCTTCTTACAAGTTTTTGTTTCTAATATACTTTTAATAGAGCTTTGGCCTCGATATGGGATCGTCAGAATATTTATTTAAACATTAAAATCTGAGTTTTTTTGAAAAGGAAAAACGTAGGTTTATTATTCAGGTCGTCTTCAGCTTCCACAGACTATCGAGGAAGACAGTGAAGAGGAAGATGAGTTTATTATTGAGTATGTTACTGATTCTGAAGAGGAACTAGAGGATGGAGATCAAGAATGGTGATTAATCAGTGATAAAGATCAATATGTACTGATTCTGAGATGGAATTGGAGGATAAAGATCAAAAAAGGTGACTAAGATCAATATGTGACTAATTCTGAGAAGGATTTGGAGGATAAAGATCAAGAATGGTGATTAAACAGTGATTTAAAGATCAAATGTATTGGAATATGTAGATTGTGCCAATGATTAGAGTAAGATTATATTAAATGGAGTGACTGGCTATGTTATTTAGTCGAACTGAGTATGCAGTGTTGTGGAAAACTTCTTTCGTATTCATTTGAGACATATTAAACTTTTTAAAGATCTGTTAATCCTGAGTTTGAGCGCAACGTTCAAAACTCTTACTTTGGGGGTGGATACGTTTTCAGAATTAGTTTATTTTTTTTTTAGTTATTAAAAAACGACAACGAAAAATAAAGTAAAAATTATACAGTAATCTAATTAGACGGATAGAAACATATTTCTCAAAAGAAATTTGTCAATAAATCAATGCTAAAATCGATTATTTCATTTTCATTATTATATTGAATTTCTTATTTTCTTTGAATTTATTCGCAGATTTTTTTTAATTCTTCAACTGTCGTCTTTTCAATGATAATTCTAGAAAATCTGCGAAAATCTTTGTGAATAATGAGAAACCAGAATAATCAGAAAATAGAAACTAATAATTGAACAAGATTACTTATTTTCGATGATAAGACAAATTTTTATTTTCTCAACATGTTCCTATACATGATGTCTGTAGTTTATTGTAGAACTTTTTTACATTTTATGTCTAAAACTAATTCTGAAAACGTATCCACCTCCAAAGTAGGAGTTTTGAACATCGAATTTACGCTTAAACTCAGGATTTAAAGATCTTTAAAAAGTTTAATATGTCTCAAGTGAATCCGAAAGAAATTTTCCACAACACTGCATACTCAGGTCAATTACCTTACATATCCGGTCACTCCCTTTAAAAGCTGAAACAAAGCATTGAAGTACCTCTAGTGCCACCTAGCAGTAGGTCATGGAACAATCAACCTCTAATAATTAAACCCTGGAAGGAACATCAAATTAGAAGTACAAACAATATGTCACCAGGCGGCCAAATCCAATGAAAGGTGACTGTATCGTATATATTACCCACAATTTAAGCATCAGATTTTAATAGTAAAGCCCGACATTCGTAAGCTTAAGCGTTTGTGAAACTCGAGTCTTTGGCTTGATATTGATTAGTACAGATCCGACCAATGAAAGATGCTGTCCATGGTGTGTCTGCATATGGTATGCAATCTAAATAATCAGCTGATAAATTCAGATTTCCTCAAAAGTTTCGAAAACTCAAACATTAAATATGTATCTACATTGTTTCTTAACATTATTTCTTAGAAACCTATTTTTAAACAGCAGATAATTCACGAGATTTTAAATTAAACTTTAAAATTTTTTGACGACATTGTATTGTGGACTATTTTTGCATGTCAAATATAGGTTTGGGGTGTGGGGCACGTTGTTTTAAAGTCAAAATTTATAATTCATGGATGTACGAAGAAACTCTTAACGTTTTTTCCATTTTTTATTTTTTTTATTAATAATTTACTCTTAATCTTATTATTTAGTTCGCATTGTAGTTTAAAGATATTATAATAAATATTCATATTTTAAGAATGTATATTTAACATAAATGGTAAATAAATATTTATTCTCAAATTTAGACTGTTTTCAATTTCTTGAATGAAATTAAGGTTAGGATGGCTGCCAGTACCAAAGACCCTGATAAAAACAGAAAATATCAATGATAATCAAGTTTTTTGTGGTAGTCAAATTGGATTTTAGGTTAAGCTATAAGGAAGTGTACAGTATTTATTTATTCATTTATTCCTGTATACGCTCTTGATAAAAAATAGTCATTATCAAACCATTGCTAATTTTCTCATGTGAAAACGTTCTTTATAGAGTTTAATTAAAAGAGATTAACAGTACGGTCCCACTCTCCACTAAAAACCACAATTTCTTCTGTCAGTGTACTACAGATCACTGCAGTACACGTTCGGCTAAGTTTAGGGTGGTCCATGCCCCACCAAGCTGTCCCTTTTGATCAATAATGACCCATGAAATTTAAATTTTTCGTTTCTCCTCTTTTCTACTTTTTTTTTGGTCGAAGGATGCATTTTCAATCTCGAAGTGGAAAAGTACATCTAATATTGTTTAAGTTTAGTGATTGTTGAAGCATAGATCAAAACGTGCAGAATTAAATACAAATTAAAGAAAACGGAACCGGAGCTATAGTTAGTCCAAGGTGTGACAGTAAATCCAGCGGCGTTGTCCGACTCCGTTGTAATTAAAAAATCGTCCAATACATTCAAAACAGCTGTATGATAAATTTATAGTGATAACCAGACAACTCTGAACTACAGGGTTGCCTACAAAAGGATAAGACTGAAAAGACGACCTGAAACTCTAAAAATATAAAGTTTAATTTTTGGTCTTTGCATTCAAATGAGTAATTTGATGGTTTACTAAATGATTAAGCACAGAAATAAGCCAGTTTTAGCCTTGAATGCAAGAAAACGGACAATAAGCCAGTTTTGGCCTTGAATGCAAGAAAACGGACCAAGCAAATTCCTTACAGTTGTCTCTGAAGTCACATCCTTTGCTCAAGTTATGGTTTTAAATAGTTCAATGAGCATGAAGGACAGTTATGTGCAGTCTAAACAGACCCATTTAAGATTAGTAAAACTATTTGCTTTGTAACAACATTAGATACACTAAAGTATTTCTGGAAAATCGTCTTCCTATTTCAGAGATTTCTGGTTATTACTGTAAACAAACCTTAAAAATGAAAACCAATTAAAATTTCGTATTTTCTGTTCCTGTAATGAGTCCGAAGATAAGGTAAGTTCCATATTCAGCATACAGGGAGGATACAGCTAGAGGACCGATAACTCGTGCTGAAATAACATTATTTCAAGAATATGGACCAAGCACTGTTTTTGCAAATGTTACCTAAACTTCCAAATGTTGTTAGCAGTCCTAACCACAGCCCCTGTAAAAAAAAATAAATGCAAAATGTGTACCAGCATTCTTTCTAAGAACCTTAAAACTCTCAAAGTCTAATTTCCAATTATTCTTCGTAATCTGATGGTGTAAAACTTTTTAAGGTTTGTAACCTCAGGTTGCAATGATTGAACAAATTTAAACATGAGGAACATCAAAATTTGAGGCAAATCGTTCAAGGGGTTCGTGAGTTTTGACCGGGCTTAATTTAACCAACCCAAACCCACCCCAAACTAAAAATTACTACTTTATATCTTATGATGTCTTTGTCTAGAAACTAAGTTTTCCCTGGTAAAGAATTGTTAAACCAAACTAAGAATATTCCCATAATTCCCCAATCCAAATTTGCGGCAAATCGGTCAAGGGTTTAATGATCGGATATAAACATATTTAAACATATATTATTATTTCATCATATTTACAGAATCTTGTATCTTGTATCTTCTATATGTCCCTCACCTGGTTTACCCCCACCAGCATCTTAGAGTAGAGAGAAGCTGTGAGAGTGACACAGAAAGGATATCCCATCGTAGCTAGAGCATACCCAACCAGAAACTGTGCAACAGTTATCTAGGCTCACAGCTTTCAAAACATCATAGCAGATTATTTCAAATTAACGTCGATACGGCTGAACCTAATGGGCTTGAATTCTGTGTGGAAATCGAAGTGATTTATGCCCAACAGGGTTTAATGTAAACTCATACAGAAATATATTTTCTAAAACTTCCCAATAATAATCAGCCAATGTTATTTTATCCACAATTTACAACGGTTTCATTTAAACCTTGTCTTGAGAAAAAATGGCGTAATATCCTTTTTTTCAGATTTGAGATTCTTCAATCTCAGTTTCTTAATAAAAGTTACTTACAGATTAATGTAGCAGAAGCTAAGAAGGAAGTTTACAGAAATTAGATAAATGATCAGATAGAAAACGACAACATCTTCCTGAATCAGATGGAAAACGACAAAATCTTCCTGAATCAGATAGAAAACGACAACATCTTCCTGAATCAGACAGAAAACGACGATGTCTTCCTGAATCAGATAGAAAACGACAAAATCTCCCTGAATCAGATAGAAAACGACAAAATCTTCCTGAATCAGATAAAAAAAACGACAACATCTTCCTGAATCAGATAGAAAACGACAATATCTTCCTGAATCAGATAGAAAACGACAAAATCTTCCTGAATCAGATAAAAAACGACGACGTCATCCTGAATCAGATAAAAAAACGACAAAATCTTCCTGAATCAGATGGAAAACGACGATGTCTTCCTGAATCAGATAAAAAACGACAACATCTTCCTGAATCAGATAGAAAACGACGATGTCTTCCTGAATCAGATAAAAACGACAACATCTTCCTGAATCAGATAGAAAACGACAACATCTTCCTGAATCAGATAGAAAACGACGATGTCTTCCTGAATCAGATAAAAAAAACGACAACATATTCCTGAATCAGATAGAAAACGACGATATCTTCCTGAATCAGATAAAAAACGACAACATCTTCCTTAATAACATAGAAAAACGACAAAATCTTCCTAAATCAGATAAAAAACGACAACATATTCCTGAATCTGATAGAAAACGACAACATCTTCCTTAATAAGATAGAAAAACGACAAAATCTTCCTAAATCAGATAAAAACGACAACATCTCCCTGAATCAGATAGAAAACGACCACATCTTCCCGAATCAGATAAAAAACGACAACATCTTCCTGCATCAGATAGAAAACGACAATATCTTCGTAAGTCAGATAAAACGACAACATCTTCCTGAATCAGATAAAACGACAACATTTTCCTGAATCAGATAGAAAAACGACAACATATTACTGAATCAGATTAAATAGGACAACATCTTCCTTAATCATTTAGTGTGGAAGGGTACTTGAGAATTACTTAATAAATTACATAATAAATAATATGAAATCAAAAATAAATTAAAAGACCATTAAATCCATATTCAAGATTGCATTAAATCCATATTTAAGATTTCGAAGAGCCTGTTAAAACCACAACTTGTTTTAAAAGTTCCTTTGGAATATAGGTACACCACTCATATTTACACCCTGTACTAGTTAGGTCAGAACTAAACACGGAGAAATCTTGGTCAGATCTAGCGTAGAGACTCAACACGGAGAAATCTAAACAAAGAAATTTTAAAGGGAGTGACCGGAAATGTATATTAGTTGAACTGAGTATTATGGAGAATTTTTTTAAGGATTTATTTTAGACATAGAAAACATTTTAATGATGTAAAATTACTGAGTTTGAGCGCAAAGTCGGTGTTCAAAATCATTCATTTGGGTGGTTACGTTTAGGAAATCGTTTTTTATTTTTTTATTATTATGTAACGACGACGAAAATGTATTAAAAATTCTACAGTGTCAATAAACTAATTAGATGTTTAGGAACATATTTCTCGATATAAATTTGTCAACAAATTAATGTTACAATTATTTCCTTTTCAACATTATATTGAATTTCTTATTCTTTACGTATTTGTTCATAGATTTCTTCAAATCTAATGTCGTCTTGTCAATAAAAATTCCAGAAAATCTACTGAAAATTTTTGTAAACAATAAGAGATTACAGAAACTCTGAATAAGATGACTTATTTTCGATTATAAGTTGTTCATTTTCATTTTCTCAACCTGTTCCTAAACATCTAATTAAATTACTTTAGAATTTTTGTTACATTATACAACCTTATATTGTTATATTACAACCTTTAGTCATCGATTTTTTTTCGACGCATTCATATTTCATAAATAATTGATATTTCATAACTTATTTTTTATTTTTTTGTAATCCTAAAGTTACTTTTGAAAACACACCGGGTCGAGTGGAAGAGAAGTGGTTCAACTACGTTATGCTTTTTATTAAATCTGGCCCCAGTTTATAGAAAATTATTTGATGAAAGAGACCTGCAGTATTTAGCGACATATCAACTGGGCTGACTGTAGTTCCCAGAGTGGACTAAAAAACATGGAGTAATATAAGGTTATATACATTTTACAGTACATAGCTTGGGAACTCTACGTTGCCCAGGATACTCAAAGTTACTCCCACCATTTACTCGCGCTTGGGCTTAAATTACGATTTCAGTTTTTCCTCCTATAACAGTGGGTCACTCAACTTAGAATGTCAAACTAAGAAGGTTTCCTTGGATCTCACGAGTTCTCCCCTCAAAATTTGAGGCAAATCAGTCAAGGGTTCATGAGTTAATCAGACATTCAAACTTACAAACAGAGAAATTACAACTTAATATATATATATACCAGCTGAAGGGCCTGGAGTTGCCCGTGGAAAACAAATTAAAAATGAAAAACATTTTTTTTAAATGTTGATCAAAAATTTTTTTTACCTTAAAACAACCCCCGACCACCCATGAGTATCAAAAAAAAAATGTCAGGCCAATTGGTCTACCCGTTTGGACGGCTATAGGCAATATATATATATATATATATATTTGATGTCTTGGTTTATTATATAGCTACTGAAAGGCTAGTATTTAAAGAAACTAAAAGCTTACGTTAACAACTCTCATTAAAGGATATCCTGCTCCAGGGAAGGGGAAGAGAACAACTCTTCCCAATATCATCGGTAGTATTCCCATCACTAGAAGCAGGATTCTTTCATCAAATCTAAACATTTATAAATTCAAGGGAGAGAACACAATTTTGATATAATTGAGATAATTGTTTTTATTTGCAGTTCTCATTCGTTTATAGTGGGCCAACCAATTAAAACAACCTACTCTGGTTAGGCGGGTCCAAACTACATAGTAAACTGTGATTTCTTTATTTGTATTATCTCGTGCTTTGTAGTTGAATAAAGATATGAAATATGAAAAAAATATGAATTGACTCTACAGTTTTTAAATAGCATGTATATGATTCACAATGGTTTGTTAAGATCATAAAAATGAATAACTTATCCAAGTTTTAAACTTTAAAAATGATTATTTTTAATTGTGGTTTGTCTAGAGAAGTGACATGTTGATTTCTGGTACAGAGCTTACCCTAGAGAATCGGAACTGAATTTAGTTAAATAAAGATCTACTTGAAATTCAACAACAGAGGCGGGACTATTTATTTTGTTTTTATTTTTGTTATTTTTATCTTTATTTGTGATTTTATTCAAGTTTCTATGCGTCATTTTATTGTCAGGAATTTTGCAGTGAAATCATATAAATACCTCTACAATCAACAATAAATAAATAAAAATAATATTAAGATAAGAACTTGTATTTAGCAACAAACTGAATTAAATGACGTTACCCTCTAATCCAAGATTGTAAACTAATTATACTGCCCTTTGACATAAGAAAAACCAAAAAAAGAAAACAATGTTTAGTTCTTTTCGATAAATTGTTTAGAAACATATGGTTGGGTAGATCTTTAATATATTTATGTATCAATAAAAAAATTCTCGTTCTGCAGACTGTACAAGATTGGGAGTTGGTGCCTCTCAAGCTATAAGGAAGAAACGATGGCAATCTTAGTTTTTTTTATTTGAGAATCAGAAAATATCCTTAGCTGAAAACTTTAGAATAAGATATTGCTTAATCTCAGTATCCAATGTACACACTTTTGATTTTCTCCTTAATCCTCTACTTTGGATATCCATTATCCCTACTGTATAAAAGTTACGTTTGATAACAATTACAGATACAATGCTATATCAATTGGACTAATATCCGATTGAATTAAAGTCAAAGATAATATACAGGGTGTCCCACGAAACATGACAGTTGATAAATAGTTTTGAATGTCGTCTTCCATACACTGTATTAGATATTAAAGGCTGTTTGCAGTTTATTTCGTTTAAAAAATCTTTTGCTCTAGTATATTTTACTTTGAAATTAATTTTACTATAATATGACTCCTAAATAATATTTTTATTATTGTCTTTCGTATTAAAAAATTTATCAAATTATGGAAGAAGACATTCTAAACTATTTATACCAACTGTCATGTTTCGTGGGACACCCTGTATATATATATATATATTATCTTTGATTAAAGTTCACAAGCCGGCTTTTAGAGCATTTAAACAAATATAAATTGAATCATGTTTGTTAAAACATGTTTTATCACATTTTAGGACTATTGTCATTCTGAACGTTAGTCTTAATAAAAATCAATCCAAAACTTACGTTCGTTCAATCGATGTTTAGTTCAATTGATATGACACCATCAACACCAGATATAAAAACCAGTTTTTCAAAAGTTAACGAGTACATCTTAACATGACACGCTGATTAGTTGAATTTTAAACTTCCTTCTTGGATATCAAATGAGTATTAAAATAATCTCTGGTTTAGTAAAACCAGGAGTTTAAGTATTAATCTGTTGATATCCATCATTCTAAAGTTTTCAGCTCTGGTATATTTTTACAAAATAGACGAGGATAAAAATAGATCTTTAATACAGACCTTTTCGATAGAGGACCAATCAGAGCAAACACCAAGAGGGACAAAAATCCTCCACCGATCATGGTTAAACCTAGAAAGAATATTTTAAACTATATTTAATCTGACAGAATTCAAAGTTTGAAATATTTAAGGTAATAGGTTCTTAGAGCGCTTCGTGCCCGTCTTCTATTTCAACTTTAATTCTGGCTCAATCTGTGAGCATCTTCTTTTTATACAATATAAAAAATAGCAAAAAAGTATAATTTTATTTTTATAAACCACGCAAGCCGTTTTGATAACAAATGCCCTACCAATCAAAGGCCATCATATTTCCTGTTTTCGTGAATTAATTAGTTTCAGGGCTTTTTTAGTAACTTTGAAAGAATGAATTGAATAATTTTAGTAATTCTCCAAAAATAAAATAATTTAAAGGTTTAACCTATATTTTGAAGAGCTTCAGCTGCAGTCCAAGCCCACATATCCATAGCAAGGGGTGTAAGTATCGTTTCTAAAAATATAAATTAGCGTTAAAGAGCTCATTTTAATCAACATAACAGTTTGTATTACAACAAGTGCCCAAACACTTAGGCAGTAGCAGTTCCGATTCACACCGATACTCTTTAACGCTTTCCCTGATCTACTTGCGCTAGAAACAATATGAAGAAAATGTCAGAATTAAGCACTTTCACAGCATTTAGTAAAAGTTGTGTCAAAACAAAATAAAAATAACAGAGAAAACTAAAATCAGAAAATATACTGTATGAACACAATTCAACTTTTATTAAAACGATATTTCTCCAAAAATAAAACCTTTCGGTAATTTTTGTGTAAATACAGGGGAAGAAAGTTCCAAACCATGATTATGTTCTAAACCTGTCATTGAGAGTCAGGTTTGGGCACAAATACTATGATCAACGTTTTAGTAACTCTTCCAGTGCCGAGTGCAAATATTGATTAAAGAAACTATTTCCAAAATATAAATAAACAAGACGAAAACTACCAAAAAAAAAACACTATTTACTTCTTTTCTAAAATCAAAACAGTGAGTGATCGTTTATTTTCAATTAAACCCCGGATACCATTTTCAACAACAATTCAAGGTTTTTCATTTCTCTCTTCGTTTTGAAAATTTGAGATACTTCGAGAGAAATACTAATTCTTTGCTTCACATGCCTTCTTCAGCATATCATAGAACTCAATAATTCATCACCTATCAACATCTTTGCTTTACTGCCAATACGAAGAGATTGCTTATAATTCACGAATTCAGACTACGAACTCCAACTGGCAACGGAATGGGCTCAGCTTGAGAAGCAAGATCGACCATCCATTTTTGCTAATAGCATGAATTTGAATCTTGAACGCGTTTTGGAACATAAACCAACTTATAGAACAATCAATAATTTGGTAATATTCAACAATTCAGAACAAAACACACTTTCATAATTTACAGAATTGCATGAATCATTGAAAATATTTTTATCTTCTAATTTATTCTAAAATTTGTTTGCACATTGAACTTTTAAATACGGAGAGTACAGATGATTTCAAGTTTCCTTCATGTTCAATAAAAAATTTACCGCATTTTTTTGTTCAATTTTGTTTTAATTAATATTAGAATTTTTCAAAGTTTGAAGTCGTTATATTTTGAATTATCAGAACATATAATGTATTATTTACATTTCTATTCCTTCATTGTTTAAATTCAACTGAATGCGAAAAACTTGTTTTGTTACAAAATTGTGTAATTATGCTTTAAAATGTCATTGATACAAATCTGTTAAATGTCTAAAAATCGCGACATGTTCCAAAACGTCTTTTGTGAATTTGCTTCAAAAATGTGACAAAATGAATTCAATTATCATCAAAAATTGAAATTTATTTATTTGTAAGGGTTTAATACTTAAATTTTTGTTATAAATATATAACCTTAACTATTCTAAATATAAGTATGCAGACGGTTTTTTACTTTTCGACTTAAATTTAAAAAGATTACTTTGCTCATTTGGCCCAAAACTGACACTCAGTGTCAGGTCTGAGCCAAATCACGGTTTGGAACTTTCTTCCCCTGAAATATATGTGTTTGAGAAGAGACGGGAGTGTTTTTTTCAATTCTTTTGTTCAACGTTCCTTAACGACCCCATTTAGTTTCCTAACTGTACCGTCAAATTCAATTCGTTCGTTCGTTAAATGAGTTCGTTCTATGAAAAAACGACTGTGGTTTTAATAGTTCATTCGAAAAATTCTTTCGTTAAATGTCGATCTATCAATGGTATAGAAATGTCCTACCTAACAGAACAAAGTTGATAAAGAAAGAAAAGTAGTTGTAGAGACAGGTCAATGCTGGTATTATTGGTGGATACGCTTTCTAAAAATAAATTAAAGTTTTCACGCATTTTTGCTCGCAATCTCATATAGCCCCTGGGATGGAAAGTTTGTTACCTGTTCCACGCCAAAATAAAGCAAAATAACGTTCAGTAAAATTAAAAACTACGTGAATTTAAACATAACTGCATCAGAGAATCAATTCAACTCACTTGTTTTCAAATAAAGTATTACTAGCTGAACAGCCCGGCGTTGCCCGTGGAATTAAAAAAAAAACCAAATTTGAAAAAAAAAGAAATGAAAAAAAAAAATAATTTACAACTTTTTAAAGCATATGCTACCCCCAGGCCCCATGGTACCTGAGGATTTCCTAAAAGCATGTCAGCCAATTTGGCCCAGCCGTTTGGCCAGCTAAAGCTAAAAACTTTTTACAAACAAATATAATGTAAGTGAACAGCTTTATTACATATAGATGAGGGAAGAGAATTATTAGATTTATTTGTGAGAAACTATTATTTATTCAGGCTTAAAATTATAAATTTAGAACTGTAGTCACTAAAGGTGAAAATCCGGTCTAAAATTTTCGAAAATTAAATGGACTTTAAACTATATACGCCTACGAGTGAGTAAAACATGCCTCGCAATTTGCACCTTTCTTTGGCTCAGGACCTTTCTCTAAGTAGCAGAGGGGGATGTTGTGTTACAGGACCCCCCCTTTCTCTTAATGATTTTTACACCAAAAGAATAAACACCCCTTTTTAAAGTTTGCACATGAACAACACATTAATGAGTGGGGGGGGGGGATTTTAGAATTTTGAATTACCGTGGTTACCATTTCTCCATTTTCAGAATCATCATCAATATCTTCAAGCTTTCCTAAATACAACAAAAACTACCATTACTGAAATATTTGAAATTTAAAACAAATTGTTCAAAATAGATTATCTATAATCGTACAATAGGTGGCAACGTGAACTAGACAAATTATATACAAGCACAACGACGACGACAGGGTTACCCACAAAAGATGAGACTGTACAGGCGACCGGAAACTCTTAAGATATGACGATCTCAAGGTTAAATTAAGTAATCTGTCTTAGATATAGTAATCTAACGACTTATTCACTTATTTGGCTGCAGAAATAAACAGTTTACAGTTACAGTGAATCTTGAATACATGGGAAAAAGGCAGGCGCGTAGTGGAGGGGGGCCGGAACCACTGTGCCCCCCTTGACATGCACCTCCCTAGAGCCAGAGGCAGGCTCTAATTTATTAAACAGTAAACTTACATAAATATTCAGATTTTTTACTTTTCTTATCAATCGACAATGTCACAATTTGTCCATTTTATGATTATTTCTCAAATTCTTTTTTGTACCTTAATCTTATCTACAATGATTGGTAATTATGGTCATGACTAATACTCAGCCTTCAGGTAGATTAGTATAGATTTTAAACTTTATTTTTTCTTAATACCGGTTTTTTTAGGGGGTGCACATCAACAGTTAGAGGGGTGCACACAAAAAAAAATGTGCTCCCCCCTAGGCTAAACCTCCACTACGCGCCTGGAAGCAGGCATCCGTAAAATCGTCTCTGAAGTCTGTTTGTGGGTAACCCTGTAGGTTTTCAAAGATTTAGCTTAGATGAAATCGTCTTTGAATGGTTACTTGTAATTGAAAATGACTATGACCCCTAAACATTAAAAGCTTTATTTGCAAAAGAATTTAAATAACTATCTAGTTTTTTATCTAACTTAACATGTTTTGAGGATTTCACCTTTTAGATTAGCAAACTATTTTAAAGTCTATAAGAATGTTTAAAAGATTTGTTTGATGCCGAATGGCACATTTATTAGTGTCATGCTGATTTCTGCTGCGGAAACACCGGAGAAAATGTCAGAATTTAACACTTTTAAAGCTACAACGATATCTGCCACATTTTTGATCAATGTTAAAGGTTACCATTATGAATAGACCTCTTCAAGTTCAGTGTCCCTCCAGTATTTTGAACTCGAGGATAAAATAGGAATGAAAACTCACTGTTAAAGTTAAGACCCCCGTCCACGACTGAGATCCGAGAATATGATTTGAGAAGCTGGCGAGGTTCTGCAGTTTGTGTATCTATCTTAGTTGGACCCAGGGATACTCTGGAGGCTTCTCTTAATATTCTTCTCTTGACAGGAGGCAACTATAGTAATAATAATAATAATAATAATAATAATAATATTTGCAGACCCCATATTATTTTCGGAAAAAAAGTCCCGGGAATTTAAAACTCAGGATTCTGTCCTAGGACATCAGAAAATTGGGACTTTTTTACCAAAGCTTTTATTTCCAAGTTTTTTTTTCAGAAATGTTTTTTGCCTTAACTTTATTACATAGATTCTTTTAAACAAACCTTACCTTCTCATTTCTCTCTTGAATTTTTATAAATTCTCTTTCCTTCACAGCAATATATTTCTCTTGGAATATGTAGGGTAGGTACAGAATTATACACAGGGCACCAGTAGAAGCACTTACCCACCTAGATATATCCTTCTTTGCAATTTCAAAGTTGTTAAATGAATTGAGTCTTTACCGCAAACTATAATTTTATTATCTCTATATCTTTGCAACCCATGTCTTCAACCTTAAATATTTGAAACTACAACTTCTGTTAGATAAAATAACCTAAGTTTGTAATATAAAATGTTTCCCCCATTAGGTTGCACAGATATATTAGGGATCAGAAAATTCGAGTTTGTGGCAAAGACTTAACTCCTTTTCAAGATGCTTCGGCTTTATATTTTATATCACTAGCTCAATTTAATTTTTGGTAAAGTTCATTTTAGGACGGGGATTTTAAATTCACAGCTTTTAAGTATTTTTTATCCCCCGCCATTTTTACTTTTTATTTTTTTTAATAAACAAACCCTAAATACTTAGCAAATCAAAATACTTACCCAGTAGCTGTGAACATATCAAGTTATATGCCTATACTTACCCAGTAGCTGTGAACATATCACTGTAAATGCCTATACTTACCCAGTAGCTGTGAACATATCAAGGAATATGCCTGTACTTACCCAGCATCTGTGAACATATCAAGGTATATGCCTGTACTTACCCAGTAGCTGTGAACATATCAAGGTATACGCCTTTACTTACCCAGTAGCTGTGAACATATCAAGGTATATGCCTGTACTTACCCAGTAGCTGTGAACATATCAAGGTATATGCCTGTACTTACCCAGTAGCTGTGAACATATCAAGGTATATGCCTGTACTTACCCAGTAGCTGTGAACATATCAAGGTATATGCCTGTACTTACCCAGTAGCTGTGAACATATCAAGGTATATGCCTGTACTTACCCAGTAGCTGTGTACATATCAAGGTATATGCCTGAACTTTCCCCTGAAATTCTTTGAGCACCTAGAGGAACCAAACCAGCCTAATATTAACAGAATTTACATATATGTAAACTGGTTTTTGGACATAGACCGTTCGTTAATATAAAGTTTTATTTATTTTAAAAAAACATTCGACAAATATATAAAGTTTATGTCTTTGACTTGTCTGCTGCTGATTTGTCAGTTTTTTTATTGTGACCAATAAATGTACGTTAAACATTTTTTTCTGTATCCAGTCGATGCTAAAATGTTGCCCAGAAATATTGGCTTTAAAACTTTGCCGAAATCCATCAACCATAAATGATAACAGACAATTCCGGAAAATAAAAAAGGCGGCTTAAAAATCAAAATTTAAAAGCTTATTTTATTACTAAAAAATGTAGCGTGAAACGTCATTAAGTCCAAATATTTATTGACTTTTGTAATTAAAGAACTAATTGCCTGAATTCCAGGTCCTATGATGAACCCCATGGTTTGGAAGAGAGATAAAAGAGCAATATGAGTAGTTCGTTCTTCTATCCTTGTAGCTAGAGATACATAGTATCTTCCAGTAGAATTTATTGCTAAAATACAAACATTAGAGTTTATTGCTTAATTACAAACATTAGAGTTTATTGCTAAAATACAAACATTAGAGTTTATTGCTTAAATACAAATAAATTATTTATTTCTAAAGAAAGAATGTAAGAGTTTATTACTTGAATATAAATAGTAGAGTGTATTGCTAGAATACAAATAGGAGAATTTATAGCTAGAAAGAGTTTATTGCTTGTCAATTTGAATAGTATATTTCATTGCTAAAATAATGATTATAATCTTAATAATTATGATGATTTTTCAAAATATTTCTTTCCTTCAGCTGTATGTAAAATTGCACTATCTATGACAAATTTTTTTTTCATAGATTTTCTATAGATTTTCATAGATTTTCATAAATTTTCATAGATTTTCATAGATTTTCATAGATTTTCATAGATTTACATAAATTTTCATAAATTTTCATAGATTTTCATAAAGGAATTGAGTCCTTGCCACAACCTCAAATTTGCTATTCCCGATATCTTTGTAACCTAATGTTGTAAACCTTTGATATTTCAAACTAAGAATTATGTTAGATCAAAGAATCTAAGTGTGAAATATCAAAGGTGTACGACTTTGGGTTGAAATGATATCGGGATTAGAAAATCTGAGTTTGTGGCAAAGACTCATTTCCTTTTCATAGATTTTCATAAATTTCCATGGCTAAATTCAAACTGTTCTTGATTGTTTCTTATTTTAAAGAGTTTCAAGTCATCATTATATTAAGTGACAGTCGACATAAATTCAGGGGTCTCACATTTAATTAGTTGCATGCCGGAGTTTTATGATGAGTCAAAATTATAAAAAACCAAACAGGATGTGTCTAAACTCAGAGTTAAAGAGTCTATAAAAGTACTTTCATGTTACCCTCCATTTATGGAGTGACATGTCTGATTTATAATGGTACCCTAAAAAGCTTTGTTTGATCATCAAGCTTAAAAAGAGTGTTCGCGAAAAAGGTGGTATAGGTTCACGGCGAAAAATAAGTGATTTTGATCGCTACTAATCTTAATACTATCTGTTGCGTCTATAAAGGGATAATTGTTAAAAATGACTCATGCTGAAGAACGTAGCGTCCATACAAATTCTGAAAAATGCAACATAATCAATTTGATTAGAAACAAATAATTTAGATATTACAACCTAGAATCATCGATAATTTTTAGACACATTCGTATAAAGTTGATATTTCATAATATTTTTTAGTTTTTTATGATCTGAGAGTTACTTTTGAAACATTTCTTCCTGTTTCGAGGATTTTTGATAATTAAGACGACATTTTAATATTTCCAAGGAATGTTCGAAAATATTAACTTTATGCGAATGAGTCGAAAAATAATCGATTACTATTGTTTGTAATATCTGAATGATTTGGTTGTAATTAAATTGATTATTTTACGATCCTTAGTTGTATGTTGCATCTTTCAGAATTTGTATGGACGCTACGTTCTTCAGCATGAGTCATTTTAACAATTATCTCCTTATAGAGGCAACAGATAGTATTAAGATTAGTAGCGATCAAAAGCGATTATTTTTTGCTTAAACCTATACCCCCTTACATTTTAATCTTAAAGGGAGTCTTTAAGATTAAAATTTTGAAAATTTGTTAAAGCTAGACAAGGGACATTATCTCCTTAATATTATTAATCAATTAAAGGTTTCAAGGGTACCGTTGTGAATCCGGTATCCCCCATCTTTTTAAAAAATGTATGGTCACTTGAAATTTACAACGATAGTCCCCTTAAAATGACATGAGAGATTTTTTCAAGTCTTCAGTTATCTTTCCAAGGTCATAAACTATTTTTCCAGGTCATCAGCTATCTTTCCCAGGTCATAAGCTATTTTTCCAGGTCATCAGATATCTTTCCCAGGAAATAAACTATTTTTCCAGGTCATCGGATATCTTTCCCAGGTCATAAAATATGTAAAAGGAAATAATACCTGTCAAACATCCGATAAGTGAAAATTACCTGTCAAACATTCCAATAAGGAATTATTACCTGTCAAACATCCGATAAGTGAAAATTACCTGTCAAACATTCCAATAAGGAATTATTACCTGACAAACATTACAATAAGGAAATATTACCTGTCAAACATTACAATAAGGAAATATTACCTGTCAAACATTCCGATAAGATAATATTACCTGTCAAACATTCTAATAATGTAATATTACACGTCAAACATTCCAATAAGGAAATATTACTTGTGAAACATTTCGATAAGAGAATATTACCTGTCAAATATTCCAATAAGAAAATTACCTGTCAAACATTTCGATAAGGAAATATTACCTGTCAAATATGACGATAAAGAAATATTACCTATCACACATTCTTATAAGGAATTATTACCTGTCAAACATTCCGATAAGATAATATTACATGTCAAACATTCTGATAAGGTAATATTACCTGTCAAACATTCCGATAAAGAAATATTACCTGTCACACATTCTCATAAGGAATTATTACCTGTCAAACATTCCGAGAAGATAATATTACATGTCAAACATTCTGATAAGGTAATGTTACCTGTCAAACGTTTCGATAAGAGAATATTAACTGTCAAATATGACGATAAAGAAATATTACCTGTCACACATTCTCATAATGAATTATTACCTGTCAAACATTCCGATAAGAGAATAGAAAATATTCCCCCCGCAGAACAAGCAACAGCAAAGCAGTGCTACAGGCCGTACGCTCTTCACCCTTAAGGTTTAATTAAATTAATCACTTATTTTCAAAGATGGATACTATATTCCAATTGTTTTTAGGAACACCATTTTGCTCATCTAACCGTTTAAAAGTGTCTCTGAAAGTCAGAATTATAGTTTTTGTTTCTGTTTCTTTAAAATAAGTTTTTACTGTTTCTAGTCTATTGTAATACATGAAGTACTTAACAACTTTAAGCTTTTCTAAATTTAAATCTTTTCTTTACTTTTTGTGACAACACTCAATATAAAAAAACTTAAAAAAACATAATAACATAAAAACCTTCTTGTCTACTTGTAATTTTTAAACCTCCTTGTGTACTTGTAATTTGTAAACCTCTTTGTCTACTTGTGATTTTTAAACCTCCTTGTCTACTTGTAATTTGTAAACCTCTTTGTCTACTTGTAATTTTTAAACCTCCTTGTCTACTTGTAATTTGTAAACCTCCTTGTCTACTTGTAATTTTTAAACCTCCTTGTCTACTTGTAATTTGTAAACATCCTTGTCTAATGTCTACCTGTAAACCTTCTTGTCTAATGTCTACCTTTAAACCTCTTTGCCTAATGTCTACCTGTAAATCCCCTTGTCTATAATTTCTACCTGTAAACCTCCTTGTCTAATGTCTACTAGTAAACCTCCTTGTCTAATGTCTACCTGTAAACCTTTTTGTCCAATGTCTGCCTGTAAACCTCCTTGTCTGATGTCTACCTGTAAACCTCCTAGTCTAATGTCTACCTGTAAACCTCCTTACCAAATAGAATATTACACCGGTTTTTTAAATTCAACTCCGTGGAAAATAAGATGCAGCTTGAATCCGAAAGCTCAAGCCGTAAATAAGGTCCAACGACAGCTTAGACCCGAGCCGTATTTTCCCGAGTTTTTTAAATCGCGGGCTCAGAAACATCATTTGAAATGATTACAAAATACTTACTGATTCCAAATAAGGTTTGACCCCAGTATAGATAATACTGCTGCCTGTACAAGTTTTTTAAATTATATGAGGTTGCAACTTTGAACTCGATATGCACTGCAGAAAATTTTAATTTGAAGCGTGTGAGTGCTTTCTCTGTGAAAAAAACAGAATATATTTTTGCGCTGTTTTTTTTTGGCCGAGAGAACATTTTTTTGTGGCTTCAAATCTGTTTGTTCTGCCTTTAAGAGACCATTCTGTGCAAATAGATTATCAAGTACAATAGGTGGATACAGAAAAATGGACCAATTATACACAACGTCACAAGTGTCAAATATAACAATGAAAAAAAAATTTTCTCACAATAGTTAAAATGTTTTCCAAGATTATTTTAATTATAAAAAAAGAAAATAAAGGACACATTAAATTGCACGTATTTTACTGTATCATAAGCACATTATTCTAATATTATCACTATTATAGATATTGTTGTCGGACAAAAAATCTGAATTGACACTTTTGACGTCAGAATACAGCTGTACTGAGAGTGTACAAATTCTACATTGCCATCTATAGAATCTATTTGGTTCTGTATAGGAATTAACAATACAAAAGTTATGACCTATTTTTAGGGAACTAAACCTCAATATCTCACATCAAAATTAAACTAAATTTAGATTTGTAATTTGTAATCAAATGCTTAAGAAACAGTAAAGATCTAAATCCATCAACTATTGTTATTTAAAGTTAGATTAAAAAATATATTTTTAAATTATCTATTTACAATTTTGTTTGTCGAATTTAGTTGGATATTATTCTCCTTAAACGTTAAACGGCTGAACCATTTGGGAATAATTTTTTGTGGTAACTCTCATGATCCCGGGGAAGGTTTATGACAGGTCGAAACTTGAGAAAATTTCCGATTTTTTAGTTTTAAATCTCGATGCTTATAACGTAAAAAAATTTAAAAATGTAAGTTTTCAGAGAGACAAGGAATTGTCTAGTTTAATTATTTTGATAAAATTGAGAAAACTGTTTCCTAAGGACACAACGAGCATAGAAACATGAACAATATACAAGGAACGAAGACGAGCTCTTCTCTCACTTCTAGTTTCAAGATAGTCGGAGCCATCAGAGCCATCAGAGCCAGCCTGATGTTAGAATAAACAACTCTAGAGGAATATTTTATAATTTCATTTCATTAAATAGACTGTAAGCGCAATTTCAAGTGACCCTAGATTCACAATGGTATTTTTAAAAGCTTTGTCTGATCAAGTATAAATAATGTCAATGTTTATAGTTTTGAAAACGGTTTATTTTTAATTGTGACTTGCGCATTTCTACTGCAGAAAAACTTGTATGAATTCTCGAATATGCA